GGTAGGCAAAAAAACTCATGATTTCTTGGAAAGCCTAAAATAGCTTTATCAATAGCTTGATTGATAGTTCAGCTGTACATAAAATTCTAGGTTTATAATTTTCTTCCAAATGTTGAAAGTAATATTTCATTGTTTTCTTTTATCCCTATGTTATGAAAAAAATTGAAAGTACAGAAAAATTGAAAGAACTTTATATTGAACACCCATCTGTCTATCACTTAGATTCTGTGATTAACATTATATTTGCTTTATTAAAATCCGTTTATCCATCCCTCTGTTCATCTATTGATCCATCTTATTTTCTCAGAATTTCGAAATAGGTTGCAGATGACCCTGCCCTTGACTCCCAGACCCATCAGCATGCATATCATTACCTAGAGTTTGATATTTGTTTACAATATTTTTCATTTGAGCTAAAATTTCTAGACTGCAAAATGCCAAAATTTGAAGTGTACCATTCAGTGAGTTTTGACAGTGCAAGCCAGACCCATATCAAGATACAGAACATTGCACCTTCCCTCCTATCCTTTCCCATTAAATCCCTGCACCAGAGGTAACCAGGGGTAACCATTGTTCTGATTTGTTTTCATCATGGATTCACTATCTCTGTTTAGGACAGTATGTAGATGGACTCATACAGTAGTCATGCTTTTGTGTAAGGATTCTTTCCTTCAGCATCCTGTTTTTGATACTCATCCGTGTTGTGGTCTCTATCCATTCCCTTGTATGAAATGTACCACCGTTTATCCATTTTTCTACTGATGGATGCATGGGACTGTTTCCAGTTTCCAGCTCTTGTGAATAAAGCTGCTACACACATTCTTGCACACATCTTTTGGTAGGCATAGTTTCCATTTTTCTTGGACAGATCGCTAGGAGTGGAGTTGTGAAGTCTAGAGTAGTTTCATTTTATGAGGACCTTCAGATCTTCTGCCAAAATGGTCTTCCTGTTTTATAGCCCTGCCAACAAAGTATGAGAGTTCCAGTAGCTCCACAACCCTTGCCAACATTTGTCAGTCTTCCCAATTTCAGCCATATTGTTGAGTATGTAATGGTATTTCATTTTGGTCTTAGTTTTTCATTCCTAATTTCTAAAGATTTTGAGCAGTTCTTCATGTGTGATTTGTAAATCTTCCTTTAGGTAGTATCAATTAAGTCTTTCACTCATTTAAAAACATGGATTATTTGGGGCACCGGGGTGGCCCCACAGTCTACTAGGGATTCTTTCCTCCTTCCTCCTCTTCCTCTCCCTCTGCTCCTCCCCAATCACACACTCTCTAAATAAATAAATAAAATCTTTAAAAATAAATAAAAAATAAAAACATGGATTATCTTTTTTGAATTATAGGGCTTTTTTTTTTCTTGCAGGGTTCTTTATATATTCTGGATTTTAGAACTTTGTCAAGTATGTTTTGGAAATATTTTTTTCTCAATCTGTGATTTGACTACTCATTTTCTTAACAATATCTTTTGATGAACAGAAGTTTCAAAATTGATGAATTTATCAATTCTTAAATTTATGGCTTTTGTTTTTGGTGTCCTTCCTACCCCTAAGTCATGAAGATACATATTCTCCTGTGTTTTTTCCCATCTTTTTGTTGTAGTTAATTATGTTTAGTCAAGAACTCATCTCAGTTTACATGTATGGTTTGAGGTAGGGCTCAGGATTCTTCTTTTTCCTCTATATGGATATCCAGTTGTTTTAATACATTTTAAAAAAAATTTTAGTGTTTTCTGATGTCTAATAATTGCAGATAGCCTGTTGCCAGTCTGATTTTTATTCCTTTGAAGGTGACCGATTTCTTCCCTCTTACAGTGCTCTCTGGATCTTCTTTTTTTCCTTAGTACATCTAATATCCTGCTAATCTTTCAGTATCCTCTTTCCATCTGAAGATTCATGGTATCTTAGCTTTGGTAGATTTTCTTCAGTGATTTCTATAATAACTTCTATCCTTGCATTTTCTCTGGGCTCTCTTTCTGGAACACATATTGGTTGTGTCATGGACCTGTTTCAGACCTCTGGTTCTTTTATATTTTCTCTTTACTTTTTGTCTTTCTCTTTTTCTCTCATGTCATATTTCTACCTTTGTAGAAAAAATTAAAGTTTGGCAAGCATATTTTTAATTTCCAAGTACTCTTTCTTGTTCTCTAATTGTTCCTTATTTATGGCATCTTGTTTTTACTTTAGGTATTTATTGTATCTAGAATACCTTCAAAAATATTAACTAGAGGTTTGGAAAATTATTTTTCTGTTACCCAAATTGGTCCTTGTGAGGTCAGCCTTTACTTTTACTTCTTCTGGGTTTTTTGTTTGTTTGTTTGTTTTATGTAGCTGATTTCCCTCCCGTGCCCAGTGATTGGGGGGGGGTGTTTTTTATATTTAAAAAAAGAGAAAATAAGCTGATTTTTTTTTTAGATGTGTTTCCTGTACTATTGCATATAGAGCTGTTTTCCTGCTAGCTAATTACCCAGAAAGCAGAAGAGGCTGCAGGAAGTTCTGTGTTCATGAGCAGAGCTTGCTACAGAGGGAGGCTTCCTGTTACAGTGAAAAAATGGAGAGCCAGAGAGGGGAGGGCTTTTCTGGGCTGCTACCACTCACCACCCCCAGCATCGGTCCATTGGTATTATATACAAGCTATTGTCTGCTGATTGCTCTTTTCTCATTTCTCATAGCTGGTATGGCTTTATTCATTTTAAAAAAATGATTTACTGTTCTTTTTAATTGTGTATTGGAAGTAGGGGGGAGACAAGTGGCTGCCATTTAGAACTAAAGCCTCATTCTATCTTTACTAAATTATTTCCTGCTCTTTCTAAATGGGCACCTTTCATTGGATTTGGGTTGATGTCTTTACTCTCTCATGGATATGCCAGACTCACATCCACCTTCAGTGCCCTCGGTTATCGTGTTCCTTCTTTCAGAAACTTCCTTCTTCTCTTCCCTTTTCTCCCACCTTAATCTAGTGAAATTCTTCCCAACTTTTGAAGCGAACTTGAGCATATTCCTCCATGAATCCCATCTATTTAATTCATCTTTCATTGGCCTCCCTTTTATCTTAACACTGTTATTCAACTCAATGCCTATTGTTCACAATTCAGCTCTTAATTATACAGTCCAGTATTGCTCATTCTTATTTCAAATGTTCATTATTATGTTGGTAACTATTAAAAAGTCTTTGGGGACAAGAATTTATTTTTCTCTGTCCTTCAAAACACATAGCATAGTATGCATATATAATAGATACTCAATAAGTATTTGTAATTGGTTAACTTCCCCGCTATTTGCAAGAAAGAAAGTAGATAATAGCTTATATTTTTTTCTGCTGGAAACAGTAAAACACTTATCTTTTAATTGAAAGCTGAATTAGGGATGCTCCATTTCAGGCAAAGGAAATGCTGATTTTTCTTCACTAAGGAAAAAAATGTAAGTTATAAAGTGTAAATGTCTGCTGAAAGCCAGGGCAATAGATCCACCAGAGTTGAAGCAATTGAGGTGAGAGTGGCTTGGGAAAAGCAAAATAGCAAAATGTGATTTAAAAATAGACTTTATAGGGACACCTCATTGGCTCAGTCAGTTAAGCATCTGACTTCGGCTCAGGTCATGATCCCAGGGTCCTGGGATCGAGCCCCGCGTCGGGCTCCTTGCTCAGTAGGAAGCCTGCTTCTCCCTCTGCCTGCTGCTCCCCCTACTTGTGCTCTCTCCCTCTCTCTGCCAAATAAATAAAATCTTCAGTTAAAAGGAAAGAGGTCTAGTGGTGGAACAAGAACAAGTAGTAAGAAATAATATGCTTCTGGGGACACCTGGGTGGTAGAGTCATTTGAGCCTCCCAACTCTTGGTTTCGGCTCAGGTCGTGATCTCAGGGTTGTGGGATCAAGCCCCATTCTGGGCTCGTGCTCAGCACTGCATCTGCTTGGGTTTCTCTCCTCCCCTCCCCCAAGCTGTGAACTCAATCTCTCTCTCAAAAAATAAATCTTTAAAAAAAAAAAAAGACTGAGCCTGGGTGACTCAGTCGTTAAGCGTCTGCCTTCGGCTCAGGTCATGATCCCAGGGTCCTGGGATTGAGCCCCGCATCGGGCTCCCTGCTCCGCAGGAAGCCTGCTTCTCCCTCTCCCACTCCCCCTGCTTGTGTTCCCTCTCTTGCTGTGTCTCTCTCTGTCAAATAAATAAAATCTTTAAAAAAAGAAAGAAAGAAAGAATATGGTTCTGGTGGTAATCACTGCTGTTCACCAAATAGATCTGCTTCCCTCTCCTCTGGACACATGGAACGGTCATAGTGCTGGGATCCAGTGAAGTTAGGGATAGCCACGTGACTTGCTTTGACCGAAGAAATGAGAGTAGGAGTGATGTCATTCAGGTGGATGCTTTCAAAGCCCACGAGGGATTCGCCATATTCCTGTTTTCTGTTTCAGTGGTTGTGGAAGCATGTGGTATTCCATAATTCTGAATTCCTCAAAGTCCATAATGAACAGTTTCCCTGCAGACCTGTTTTGGAAATAGTGTGAGTGATAAACCTTTGTGGTTTAAGCCACGGAGCATAAATTATTGCTGCTCAGGGTCAGCACATTCCCGCCAATAGGCCAGCTGCCTGTTTTGATGAGATTTGATTGGAACCCGGACATGCAAATTTGCTTATGTCTTGTTTATGCTGCCACTGAACTGACTAATTACAACAGAGGCCATATAGCCTGCCAGCTGAAAATAGTTACTATTGCTCTTTAAGAAAAAGTGAGTTGACTTCTGGCCTGGTCTATCCTATGATAGAACTGGAGGTCTTTGATAAGTTCCCTCGCATGTTTTGTACACAACACGAAAGATATTTATAGTAGTCAGCCTCCAAGATGGCACCAGTGATCCCCAACTCTGAACACAAGGGTATTCATGTGCACTTCCTTCCCACCCCGATAGAGCTGACTTGTGGAAGCAGTGTGGGAGTCATGGAGGGTGACTTCCAAGCCTGGGTCATAAAGGATAGTGTGGCTTTCATCTCTCTCTCTCTCTGAGATCACTCACTCTGGGACAAGCCACTACCATGCTCTGAGGGCACTCAAGAAGTCCTATGGAGAAGCCCACGTGGTAAGAAGCCGAGCCTCCTGCCAAGAGTTCGTGAGTCAAGCCTTCAGATGATTGCAGCCTTGGCCAGCGTCTTGACAGCAACCTCATGAGTGACTCTGAGCCCAAATCACCCAGTTAAGCTACTCTTGAATTCCTGACTCACAGAAATTATAAGATCATAAATGTTTGTTGTTTTAAACCACTAAGTTTGGGGGTGATTTGTTATGCAGAAGTAGATAATGCACTGTTCAAATGAAAAAGGGTACTCGTCCTCTACACTTATACATAGTATATATTTGCACATGGACTTTTACACACATACATGCATTATTTTATTCTATTACTGGATGAAGAATTTGTGGACTTCATAATTAAGAGTCTACTTGTGTGAATATAGATAAGGTTCCCTTACCTGTGGAAGAAACTATTATACATGTATATATCTTTCCCATTTCCTTCTCAACACCTAATCTTTGTGGAATAGAAAGTGAAATGTGTTCTGAGAAGGAAGGAAAAAGAACTAATACTACAGTATTTCTTGATATGGTAACTGCTCAAATTTGCCTTAGTTCTTTGTATGTAGGAATAGAGTGGATTGAATGGAGCAAACTCCTTGTAGTATTTTACCATTTTATTTCTAAGGTGATGATGCAAAAGTGTCAGAAGCCAGATTTTTCCAGTTAACTACTATAACCTTTATATATGCTTTAAATGGAATAGTTCATAATAACACCTGGAATTGTAGGAGTGACATATGGAATCCAGAAAGATCTTTGAAATGAAATTAAGCAATAGTCAAGGGGCAAAAGTCAGTAGGAATGAGGGTTAAAGGAAGACTAAATAAATTCCTTCTCAAATGGTATCAGCAGATTTGTTTGGTTATCAGCTTGCACATATTTAACCCAACATATAAACAAGGGGGGCTAAGTAATATCTTTGGATAATACTGGTAGGCATAAAGCACAAGAAGTAGAAAATAAAAAACAGAGAGAAAGGGAGTGGGGAAAGAAAAAAGGTTAAAAAATAAAGAAAATCCATGGTACAGTATGAGTATTCACATGCATATTCCTTGGATTCTCAACCGCATTCCAAATTTGCGGACAATGCTGGTAACCTGGCCAAATCTCATTTTCCAAGCCTCTGTCTTGCTTTAGGCCTTCACTAAACAAATAGCTCACTGTCAGCCTGCAAATGAGTACTGACCTCCCCAGCTTGGGCCCACATGAAATTAGGCTCAGACTAGAGGAGAAATTAAGAAACTTCCTACTCCCCCACCCCCACCCCAGCAAAGGTCTCAAAACATAGTTTCTTTTTCCTTTTTATATCATTTTTGTTTAGTAAGCTTGTGACTCCGTTGTGGATGGGAAGGCTGTATGTGCTAGAGCATATGCCACGAATAAGCTCTGTTGGACTGTGCAATTTTTCTTAGCCCACATTATCATAGTTATCTTAGGTGATAAATCTGTATGGTTGAAATTTGGAGACCAGGTCCCTGGTGCTGCTGGTTCTAGGATCAAACTGTAGAGTATCAGAGATAGTTCTCTAGGCTTGCATAGTTTAAGCATAAACTTGTCCTGTATCGTGCTTATTAATCTTTGTATCATAAATATGACCAAAAGTCAAGACCATGTCATAAACTTAATAGCACTAATGAAGGAACAAAATATTTGAGAATTCCTGAAAAATCTAGCATGCTTTCCGGTCATATGTATGAGGGGAGATGTTGAGAAAACCAAATTTTTTCTAAGACAAGAGAAGTTGTGTGCAGACAACGTATATTTTAAAGGTAAATTATCTGGTTCCTTTTAGAAGAGTGAAGAACAATTGTTAAACACTTCATTGGCTTTCTTATTATCCTATATGTAGGCTACGTAAGCATATGCTTGAGTAATCATTTCCTGACTTGGAATGAACCCAGAAGAGATGGCTTGCCTAGAGGTCAGGAGGTTAGCCTTGGAGCCTTCTGGATCCAGGGAGGAAGCTACCACAGAATCTTCATAAAGTGTTCTCTTATTAAAAATGTAACCTGTGGTGGTACCTGCTTTCCAACTAAGAAGATGTTACACGATGTATCTAATGGTGCAATTTAAACCCTCCAAGGGGAGATTAAGCAGATATTTTTAATCAAGGTGCCATCCTCCTCACTCCACAAATCCCACTGTTTGAAGCAGCCTAACTCAAGCCATTTCTAACGTGATTGGGTGGTTTTTCCATTGTTAACGAAGCTAAATTTTAACTGAGTTCTATCTGACTTTTATCTGAATTTCATCAGAACATTACGGTCATGGCTTTTTAAAAATGTATTTCCTTTGATTATCCTTCCCATTTTATAGCCCTTCCAAATTGTAGAGAAAATTGAGCTAGAAGTGTTTTCTTCCTCCAGGGCACATTGCTGATATTTCTTGACTCATCTCACTGAGACATGACACAGACCCTCAGAAGACAGTGTTCTAGGAGTCGTTCAGCTGTGACCAAGAATCTCCAATTCTCTTTCTTAGTAGCTGAAACAGGAAACTTTGTTTTTTACCTCGACATCTGCTCCTGTTTTCATGATTCATGAATATAGTGGTGCAAAAACTTTTCAGTGGTTTCTTAGATAAAACACCACAAGCATAAGCAACAACAAAAGAAAAAATAGATAAACTGGACTTCATCAAACCTTAAAACTTTTGTGTTCCAAAGAACAGCACCAAGAAAGTGAAAACACAACCCACAGAATGGGAGAAGATACTTGAAATCATATATCTGATAAGGACTCATATGTAGAATAATGAACTCTTACACCTCAATAATAAAAAGACAACCCAACTAAAAAAATGGACAAAATCTCTGAATAAAGGAAACGACAGATGTTGGTGAGGATGTGGAGAAAGGGGAACCCTCCTACACTGTTGGTGGGAATGCAAGCTGGTGCAGCCACTCTGGAAAACAGTATGGAGTTTCCTCAAAAAGTTGAAAATTGAGCTACCATACGATCCAGCAATTGCACTACTGGGTATTTACCCCAAAGATACAAATGTAGGGATCCGAAGGGGTACGTGCACCCCAATGTTTATAGCAGCAATGTCCACAATAGCCAAAGTATGGAAAGAGCCCAGATGTCCATCAACAGATGAATGGATAAAGAAGATTTGGTATATATATATATACAATGGAATATTGTTCAGCCATCAAAAAATGCAATCTTGGGGCACCTGGGTGGCTCAGTCGTTAAGCGTCTGCCTTTGGCTCAGGTCATGATCCCAGCGTCCTGGGATCGAGCCCCATGTCGGGCTCCCTGCTTGGCGGGAAGCCTGCTTCTCCCTCTCCCACTCCCCCTGCTTGTGTTCCTTCTCTCTCACTGTCCCTCTCTCTCTGTCAAATAAATAAATAAAATTTTTAAAAAAATGAAATGTTGCCATTTGCAACGACGTGGATGGAACTAGAGGGTATTATGCTAAGCAAAATAAGTCAGAGAAAGACAAGTATCATATGATCTCACTGATAGGTGGAATTTAAGAAACAAAACAGAGTATCATAGGGGAAAAGAGGAAAAAATAAAACAAGATGAAACCAGAGAGGGAGACAAACCATAAGAGCCTCTTAATCATAGGAAATAAACTGAGGGTTGCTGGAGGGGTGTGGGTGGGGGATGGGGTAACTGGGTGATGGGCATTAAGGAGGGCATGTGACGTAATGAGCACTGGGTGGTATATAAGACTGATGAATCACTGACCTCTACCTCTGAAACCAATAATACCTTATATGTTAATTAATTGGATTTAAATTTAAAAAATAAATTTAAAAAAAGAAGAAATTTCTCCAAGGAAAACAGAAAAATGGCCAAAAGCACAGGAACGGATGCTTCACAGGCTTAATCGTTAGGGAAAGGCAAATCAAAACCACCATGAAATACCACTTCATATACACTAGGATAGCTAGAATCAAAAAGAGGCATAATAACAAGGATGTGGAGAAATTGGAGTCCCCATCCACTGCTGGTAGGAATGTAAAATGGTGCCATCACTTTGGAAAACAGTCTGGCAGTTTCTCAAATGGTTAAAGATAGAGTTAACATTTGCCCCAGTAATTTCACTGCTAGGTCAATTCATTTCTCTCCAAAGAGAATTGGAAACATATGTCTCCACAAAACCTTTAATCAAATGCTCATAGCAATATTCTTCATAGCCAAAAAGGAGGAAAAAAAAACCCTTAAATATCCATCAGCTGGTGAGTGGGTAAACGAAAGATGATTTACCTGAAGAATATGAAAGCACTAATTGGGGAAGATACGTGCACCCCTATGTTCATGGCAGCATTGCTTACAATAGCCAAGTCAGGGAAGCAGCCCCAAGTGTCCACCCATAGATGAACGGATAAAGAAGAGGTGGTGTTTGGGGCGCCTGGCTGGCTCAGTCAGTTGAGCGTCTGCCTTTGGCTCAGGTCATGATCCTGGGGTCCTGAGATCGAGTCCCACATCGGGTTCCCTGCTCAGCTGGGGTCTGCTTCTCCCTCTGCCCCTCCCCCTGCTTGTGTTCTCCCTCTGTCTCTTTCTCTTTCTCAAATAAGTACATTTTTTAAAAAAGAAGATGTGGTATGTAGATACAATAGAATACAATTCAGCCTTAATAAAAAGGGAGGTAATCTACCATTGCAGCGACACAGATGGACCTTGGGGTATTATGTTAAGTGAAGTAAGTCAGATGGAAAAAGACAAATTCTGTATGATTTCACTTATAAGTGGAGTCTAAACATCAAAAACAAACGAACCAACAAGAGGAAAACTCATAGATACAGAGAACAGAGGGGTGGTCGCCAGAAGGGAAGGGGGCTGGGGGCTGGGCGAAACGGGTAAAGGGGCTCAGCTGTATGGTGATGGGCAGTGACTAGACTTACGGTGGTGATCACTTTGTAGAGTCCACAAATATCGAATTATAATGTTGTATACCTGAAAATTACATATAAATTTACCTCAATAAAAAATATGAAATATTCAGTGGACTATTATTCAGCATTAAAAAGGAATTAAGTACTGAAACATACTACAACACAACATGAATGAACCATTATGCTGAGAAGCCAGTCACAAAAGAACACACATTGTGTGCTTCCATTTATATGAAATTTAAGAGCAGGCGAATCTACAGAGACAGAACGTAGTAGGCTAATGGTTACCTAAGACTGAGAGAGAGGAAGAAGAGTACCTGCTAATGGGTACAGCATTCCTTGTCTGGGTGATGAAAATGTCCTAAAATTGCGGTGATGATTGGACAACTCGGAAAATACTAAAAACCATCGAATTGTACACTTTAGGTAAATTTTATGGAACGGAGCTGTTATCAAAAGAACTCTCCTATGGAAATGACATGGGTACAAATCAGGGCCAGATCAACAAGCATGAACCAGGGGCCTGTTGTCATGGGGGAGGTGGTGGTGCATGGTGGCGACTGGGGGCCGAGTCGCAGCATTGGCTCTGGAGTTGGTCGGGGGCAGGGGCAGACTTGGGGCTTGAGCAACTTATTCCAGAGAGGAGGTCCTGCGCAGCTGCTGTTGCGACCCAAGATCTTGATTCACATCCATAGGTTGGAATATTGGTGTACCAGCCATCCTCAGACACCTCACTGAGGACTGATGGGGAACCTGAGGCTTGGGGGGGTTACGAAGCTTATCCAGAGTCACACAGGGTGTAAAGGGCACAGCCAAGACTCAGAGCCAGCTTGTAAAAAGTAAAATGAAGAAATAGGGCAAAGTATTAGGAGAAAGAAAGACGTTTAGGTTCCAGAGGCCAGTCGTCCACATCAGTGGCAGACAACAGATGAAGGAGGGGTTCGTACTGGACAATGTCACTTCCCAGTGAAGGACGTGGCCTCGCAGAAGTTGATGAGTCAAGAGGAATGCACATCGGTGAAGATGCTGTTGAAAGATTGAAAGCTGAAAGGCAGTTCTTCCAAGGCTTCTTTGGAAAAACCGGAAAGAAAACAGGGAAGGCAGTCCTGTGGGCATCAGCAGGTGGACTCAGAGCTGTGGATGAAAAAACCAAGGACCTCACAGTTGAGCAGACAATAGAAACAGTTTCTTCCTGCGCCCCACAGAGGACCTTTGATAGAGCCGTCTCTGACATAAGTCGTGACGGCACCGCTGGGCACTGGATCTGTCATTGCTTCCTGGCTGTCAAGGACACGGGTGAAGGACTGAGCCACGCAGTCGGCTCTGCTTTTGCGGCCTGTTTAGGACGGAAGCAGAAGCAGGAGAAGGAATATGGAATGACTGCTACTTTTGATGCCAGTGACGAGGGAAGGGTCATTCCGTGTCACAGCTGCCACCGAGCAAGCAGTAAGAGAGGAGAGTCTGAAGATGCCAAGATGCCAAGAAAGTGCCAGGAGTAGGAGGGGAAGCAGAGAGTATCAGCTCCCTGTGCTCACAGACCCCTGGTGCCTTCAGCATGCCTTCCCAGGGGCCCTTCTCATCTGCCCCGAGGACCAAGCCAGTGACAGGGGTAGCTTCGCAATCTCCTGACATTCAAGCTAATGACACTGGCTCAGCCTTCCATGGTCCTGCTGCTAAGCCAGACCTCACTGCTCTCGCACCCGCAGCAATGCCTATGTGGGAAACCAACTCTTGTGCCCAGGCCCCCAAGGCTGTGAACAAGACAACGGCAGCCCCACATTCGGGGACGGAGTGCGGTCGGTCTTCTGGCGCTGCATCTCCAGGTCTCTCCCGGGCTGGTCGCAGAAACACTCCCGCCGAGGCTGACCGCCAGTTAGAAGAGGGGTCCGAGAGCCCTCAGCTGTCCTTCTGCAGCCAGTTGTCCAGCCTCCTCCACTCACTGCTATTACCCTACCAGCGCGGCCTTTCCCAGGAAATGCATTGCTCACCTCTCAGCCCGAGCCAGTGGGCGTGGTCCCACCCCTGCAGCCAGCCTATGACCCTGCCCTGTACCATCCTGTGGCCACCAGGTTGCCCTACCCAGCCCTGAATGTGCCTGTGGTGGGCATCACTCCCTCCCAGACCGTAGCCAACGTGTTTGGCACCGCAGGCCACCCTCAGGCCGCCCACCCCCCTCCGTCTCCCAGGCTGGTCAAGCGGCAGACATTCCCTCAGTCTGAGACGAGCAGGGCTGCTTCCATTCCCTTCTTGAAGCCGCCTGCTCAGCACCTCAACGGTTCTACTAGTGTTAGATGATGGCAGGTTGGCCTCAGGAGATAAGCACACAGAGGTGCCTGCAGGCACCTGCCCCATGGATCTTTTGGAAGCTCAGTGGGCAGCATTAGAAAGCCAAGTCCAGGAAGCATACTAACCCCTTTCCCACCAACCCTTTCTCCAGTGACTTACAGAATTCGTTTGAAATTGAGCTTTAAGCAGTCTCTGTGGCTTCTGTATTTTGTCTGTACTTAGGCAAGGGCAGGGGCAGAGGCCAAAGGAGCAAAGGGAACTTTGTGTTTCCAATCAGTATACTTTTCACTAGTCCCAAAGGTCCCAAGGAGCATGTCCAGGCAGAGATCTGTGGGAGGTGATTTTGAGAAAAATGGGGAAAAAAAGCATTCCTAGAGAAGAGTTGTTTTCCAGTTAGGCTAAAGAAGTCAAGGAAATGTTGCCCTCTGTTCCCCTCTGACCCCCATAGCCCCTTACAAATCTCTGACAATGGAGAGGCAGAAGTATCTGAACAAGAATCTGTATTCATAGCATATTTACTGGAATATAAAAGTGTGGGAAGCAAAATGATTTCCCTTGTTTTTTAAGCCATTCACCTGCCATCCTCAGTACTGGCCTGTCTTAGAGATCAAGAACATGGTGGCTTGTGCTTGGGGTGGGGACAGGAGGTAGGCTATGCAGAATTCCCAGGAGGGCACATCAGCAGCTGCCTAGCAGAGCTACATTTCAGGGGTAAAGTTGAGCTTCCACTTTAAGTAAGAATAAATATTATAAATATTTATCAAAAAAGCCAAAATCTTTATTGTTTTTCCTGGTTTAAGTCCAAATCTTTATGTTTATGCATTAAGAATATTTTAAATAGTTCTCAATATTAAAAAGCTGTAGGAGTTGTAAGTAATCTTGCCAAAGGTGAAAGGGTTAGCTGTAAGGAATTATACATAAGATTGATTTATCAGTGATGCCTACTGAAGTTGGGGGAAAGGCTGGGAATTGCAGATGGGATCCCTAGCTTATTTGGTATCATTCATTTTAAGTAGCACATTGCAGCAACTAATCATGCATATGACCAATAGAGCCAGAAGGTTGGAGTTTTAAAGAAAATCTGGGGCGCCTGATTGGTGAAGTTGGTTGAGCAGCGCCTCTTGGTTTCTGCTCAGGTCGTGGTCTCCTGGTGGTGAGATCGAGCACTGTGAGGGGCTCCACGCTCAGCGTGTGGAGTCGGCTTGAGATTCTTTCTCCCTCTGCCCCTCCCACTCATGCACTCTCTCTCTAAAATAAAGAAATAAAAAAAAAAAAAATCAAAGAGCAGTATTGTCCTGGTTTTAAAACCTATGAAATTCTAATGTTATTTTAACAAAATCAATCTAAATACACTCGACAGAGAATATATTTTCTTTTCTATACGCTACAGTTTCCTTCTGTTAATCCGCTACTTTGTTTTGACACTAAGGTGACAATGACAATCATAGCAATAGACTGGAGCGCAGATTACTGTTGGTTTGTCATGTGAGTCTTGGTAGGTTTTGTTTTGCCCTTTAGGTTTTGTCCCCACAAGTTTTGTGGGGATGGAGATTCTAGTTTTATTAGCTGTGTGTCCATCCCCCGACTTGTGGAGAACAGAACATCCTCTTGCCAGTTGCAGCCATTGGACCTCTGGTAACAACTAGAGACCCCATCTCATCTTTACTTTTGAATGTTGGTCTTACAAGCAAATGTAAGTTATATATATTTGTACTGATGAGAATTTATAATCTGCTGTAACAAAAACAAATATTTGTGGTAGGAAAAAAAAGACATGAACCAGTGTTAACTTTTTAAATACCTTTTTTTGGTAACCAAATGTTATAAACTCCCCTAAATCTTCAGTTGTGATAATCTACAATTATCATTAGTACGTGATTGTGAAAATCGATCAGGGAAGCACTAGCAAAATGTTAGCTTCATCTTTTCAAGGTTAGCAATAATTTGGAAACCGCAGGAATCTCATCCTTCAGTTTTGGACAAGAATTTATATGGAAGGGTAGCTCCCAATTAATTCTTTTGGCTCACGGGTGGAAAAAAAAAAGGGGGGTTATTGCAGGTAATCTATTTTGGTTTTCCCAAGTGAAGGGCAGTAATTTGAGGACCCAAAAGACTTTTCTAAATTTCACCACGGTGAGTAGTTAGTTCATAAAGGAGCATAGCTTTACTTCTGTCAAGTATTGACCTTTGCTGATCACCCACACGAAACTGCGTCGTCAGCACATCAGCGGTGTGGGGAGCCCAGGACGTGTGATTCAGCGAGCAGCAAACGTCCAACAGTACCCGCTTCACATTCTCCTAAGGCGGTGAACCTCATAGGGGATCAGCTCTGAGGTCCTGGCAGGTCCCAGCAGCAACTGACTCCTGACACCTTGGGGACGAATTCGCGGGGCAGGTGCGGCCGCCGTCCTCCGAAGTCACAGCGGCCACGCTCGCTCCCGCGGCGTCTTTGACCTTCCCCAGAGCTTGCGGCCCGCCCCCCCGTGCCGGCGCACGTGGCGAGGTGGGGACGGAGCCACGCGGGGCCCGCGGAAGAGCCTCCCCGCAGCAGCACGCTGCTGACACCCCAGGCACGGGAAGCCCCCAGTCGGCCTGTCGCTGCAAGACCCTGCGGTAGGTTAGAAATCAAGCGCAGAGAGGGGACCCGGCGATCTCCCCCCGGCCTTCCAACACACACTTTCCTTTCCCTCCCTCGCCCCGCCCCCGCCTTCGCCGACTCTCCGCCCGCCGGCTCCGCTCGGTCCGGGCCAGACCTAGCGGAGGGGCCGGCCAAGACCCCGACGGAGCGACTCCATCCGGGTGCTTTGTCCGGGAGCCAGGAGGGCGTGGCCTCATGACGACCGCGGGGGGAGGGGCGCGGAGCCAACTCAGGAGCTGGGACTTCCTGACGGAGGGGGCGGCGGGAGTACGGGTTGTCCCTTGCCACGCCCCATGGAAGCGCCATCCTGCACGAGAGGGGCGTCTCTAGCCTCAAACTCCCCTCTGAGGCGGGAGTATCAGCTAAGAAGTCTAACGTCAAAGACTCCCCCTTTTCAGAGCCTTTTCACGCCCTCTCCCCCTGCCCGTCTTTCCTCTCTGCTTGACCGGCACGAAACACTTTCCGCCTCCAGCCTCCCCTCCCCCTCGTTCGGCGCAGGTGGTGGCGGCCCGCGCGGTGCGCAGCCGCAGAGAGTTCTGGGCGGTGCCGCTGAGGGGCGTGTGACGCAGCGGCCGTCGCTGCCATTTTAAGTTGTTTGTTCTCGCTTCCCTTCTCAAACGCGACTCTGCCCCGGACCCGGGAGGCGCCCGAGGCCGCCGCCGTTTCCGCAGCCAGCGGTTGGGGCAACGAGGCTGTGCCACCGCGGACGCTCACCCTCCGCTTCGGCTTTCCCCCTCCGGGTCTCCTCGACCTTCCTTGCTGAGAGCCGGAACCCGACCGTGGGGGGAAGAAAGACTCGAGAGCAGATGCTTGAACTGAAATAACTTTCTTTTGGGGGGTTTGCTTCGCTGACAGACCCCTTAGCGCAGGGCTCCCCTCCCCTTCCTCCCCTCCCCCTCCGCCGCCAGTACCAATCCTACCCCTCTTTCTACCTCGTTTCTCCTCTTTCTCGTCTTCGCCGCCGCCTCCGCGTCCTTCCCTCCGCCGCCGCCCGGGGCGCCGAGCCAGACTATGGGTCCCAGGTGGGGGCTGAGCGGCGGCAGCAGCGCGGGCGGCCCGGTCACAGTGCGCACTGCAGCGGGGATGGAGGGGCTCAGTTGGCTGGTGGTTTTCTCTTGACATGGCTCCTGCCCGTGCTGCGAGCAGCGCCCCCGCCGCCGCCGCCTCTTCTGCCGCCGCCACCGCTCCGCCCGCAGGCTGCGGCTAGAGGGCCCGAACCCCGCCCGAGAGTCGGTCAGTGAGTCCCGGTCTCCGCGGGGACAGGGAGGGGATTTCCCCGCCACCCGCCCCCGCCCCAGCTGCCTCAGTTCCACCCCCTGCCCCCTCGGGAAGCAAACTAATGACCCCACCCTAAACTATCCAAACTCGGGAAACATGGTCTGTTCAACGTGAGAGAGCGAGCTAATCCGGGAACTTCAGGGTTTTTTCTTTGGGGGGGGGGGGCGGGGCATACTTTCAAAAAGTAATTAATATTAACACAACTATTTTCTTTTTTTCCCACTGATCCTTCCCATTTACCCTCTCCCGCCTACTCTACCCGGGCGGGAATTGTTTCCACGATGAAATGAGTGAAAACCTGAGTGATCCTGTGTCTCCCGTGGTGCGAGTGAGTCGCTGCCGCTGAAGGCAAAGGGTGGGGGTGGGACCTGGGGGTGGAAGGCAGGTGGTCCCTGGGCACTGCCTGGGGTCTGGGAGAAGAACCCGCCACCTTCGCCTCAGCAATGCTCGCAGGAAGATAAGTCGCACTCCCCACGATCTTGAACGGGGGCAAATTCCTAGGGAAGGCTCCCTTGGGGAATGTAGGACTCACTGCAGGGCTGGGGGTGTTGGGATCCCGGGCATTAATCAGGTCTAACCACAGAGCCGGAAGAATAATTACATCGTTTTATATACCCCCTTTCTCTCTGCCATCATGATTTTCCATGGCAGCAGCATTAGCAGCCGCCTGAGGGTGAAAATGTGGGTGATGGGGAAGTTGGTAATGACTCCGCTGTTTTTTCTCATGGCTCCTTTGGGCAACAGCTGTCCGCCCCCGGTATACACTGTAGTTGATTGCAGGGAAACCCTGTACCTCTCCCCTTCCTTCTCTGCCGATTTTGCACTTTTCTCTTTGCTCACCACCAAGTGTAATCAATAACAAGCACTGACAATACATAGCAATAGTGAGATCTGAGATAACTTAAGAATTAATTAGGTACTACAGCCATGGATCTGGCTGGGTAAAATCCGATTGGATATTTCAGTTTCATTCACCTACCCTGTTTTGGTGTTTTGGGGGGGGGGTTGAGGGGTTTTCTTTTTCCCTTTTTCTTCGTAATTTTTTTTTTTTAATTTTTGGTATTTGGAAAGCAGGGATCATCACACTTTCCCTTCCCCGTTCGTTCTCATAATCCCTTCTCTAAAGAGGGGGGAACATCCGGATGGATTTTAAGGATTGGACTGGTGTCAGCTGTGTTTTATTGCACACCTAAATCCCGATAATAGGCTTTTCATTCCCCCCAAAAGCCTTTTTTTTGGCATTTAAGCCAGATGTGTTTTCCAAAAAGTTAGTTCCAAGTATTTTCTCCTCTCTTTCTTTCTTTCCTTCCTCCCCTTCCTTTTTCCCATAACCCCTAACGTTATTGTCCAAACATGACTGGACAGCAGCTTTTGTTTCTTGACCCTGTAATATGACAGTCTGCTAATATTGCCAGAAGGTGCAGTTTTTGGGTTACAGTCGTGATTTTAGCTATTCAATCATATTAGCAGGGAAAAAATGACTTGTTTCTGTTGTACTTGAGTCTTAAGAAAAAGTGCCCATAGTTTAGTGACAATTTCCAAAGGCTTTAGTACCACCTGTATTTCAAAATGGGGGACCCAAACTCCCGGAAGAAACAAGCTCTGAACAGACTACGTGCTCAGCTTAGAAAGAAAAAAGAATCTCTAGCTGACCAGTTTGACTTCAAGATGTATATTGCCTTTGTATTCAAGGAGAAGGTAATTTAAAATTCTTAATGTGAATTAGCACAAGTGATTTTTGTAAGTGTATATTAAGTTATTTGTTACCCGTAAATAACTATATATTAGGTTCAAGAGTGGTTGACAAAAATCTACGTGTATGCTTTAACCTGAACCCTCCCGGGTAGTTCTCTCCATGTGTAGTTGCGGTATAACTACAAATGGAAGGCTTGGGTACTCCTTGGGTTGGAAATGATCTAAAGCTTGGTAGGGTCCTTTTTTTAGGGGACCTGGGGTGAGCAGCATTGTGAAACTCTCACTACGTTTCACAAGAAATTTCATGTATGTGGAGTTACATAGAGAACATTATAGCTGAATTTGAAGATTGTCTAAAGTATAAAGTGGGGTAGTTGAAAGTGGTGGATTAGAATCAAAATGTGTATATGCTGAAAGTAAATAGTCTGTTCAACTTCATGCTAAAGGTACCTTTTCTCATGGTACATTTGATGAAATACAGTACACTTTAATTTTTAGAACAATTACATACTGAAATGGTTAATTTGTGTTTAGAAGTGCAATTTATTAAAAATCAAAAGGACCTGAAGAGGAAATTTAAACTTTGAGGTGGGTGGCGAACATAATCAGGATTAGTTTCACAATTAAATAGCAAATAAGGAGTTGTGAGTAGTCAAGGAGAACATGATAAAAGCAGTATTTTTAAAGCTGTTTGACATGAGATTAGGTTATGAATATAAGGAAATACTATGATTTTTGTACTTGTGAGCTCATTTCAAATTAGGAATATATTCTTAGTGTGGTATGTACTTAATGCTTGGAAGTTTCCCGAGTATTTATCCCATTCTTAACTCTTTTATGAAAGAGTTTATTAGTACAGGCATTCCTCAGTTGTATTGCACTTCACTTTATTGCGCTTTGTGGATATTTTGGTTTTTACAAATGGAAGGTTTGTGGCAACCCTGGGTTGACTAAGTCCATCAGTGTCATTTTCCAACAGCATTTGCTCACTTTATGTCTCTCTGCCACATTTTGGTAATTCTTGAAATGTTTTAGGCTTTTTTATTAATGTATTTGTTACGGTGACCTATGATCAGTTACTACAAGTTACTGAAATCGTATGATGGTTAACATTTTTTAGCACTATTTTTCAGTTAAGATATGTACATTGTTTTTTTGGACATAAATGCTTATTGCACACTTAATAGATTACAGTGTAGTGTAAAGATACTTTTTATATGCCCTGGGAAACCAAAAAAGTTAATTCAACTCCCTTTGATACTTGCTTTATTGCTGTGGTCTGGAACTGAACCCGCGATATCTCCAAGGTATGCCTGTGTTTAAGAATGCTCTTAGCAGCTCTAGTATAGCATTGTAAAGTGGTTTCACAGTGGTTTGTTTTGAAGTGATTATCCCAAGATTGGGTAGTACCAGGGATTTACTTCTCCATTCTGTCTTCTTGTTAATACGTTGACTGCAGAACTGATACGATCAGATTTTAACTGAGGATATTATAATTTAAGTTCACTAGAAATATAAGATGCAGGTGGTGAGATGAGTTTTTGGTATTTAATATATGAGATGCACCAAGTTGTACCATCTAGGTCTTTAACACCATAAAACCCCATCGTTACTCTTAGGAATGGACAGTATGCAGACAATTGTCCTGAGTAGTACATGAGTTTTATATCCTAAATTGATGAGCACTTGGTCACAACTAAATTTGAAACTCAATTTGGTAGACTTTTTTTTTTTCTTGTTTCATATATTGACAGTTGTTATATAATATCTAAAAGGAGTAACAGCTTAACCCATTTAAGGAGTTAAAAAAATGTTAATTTGCACAGCTTTGTTTTTAAACTGCTGAGATTTTAATTTAGCTGTATGTAGAGACAGCTAAATGAAAGTACATCAAGAGTAAATCACTTTTTTTTTTTTTTAAACATTAGGTAGGTCTAGTGTTTGTTTCTCAGAGTTTAAGAAACACTGTTTAAAATAAGTTACTTGTTATGGATACCATGATACTATAAAACCATGCAGTAAAACATTCTGACAATAGCCTATTTGTGTGTGGTTGGGGTAATGGGGCTTGGGGAAATAACAGAAGGATCCACCTATTTGAAAATCTGTACAAAAATTACCTGAGGTAATAATTTTGCTCAGTTAGAGTAAAGGTACATGATGTTGTAATATGAACTGGGTGTTAAAAGACAATGTGCTACTGGTGGGTTAATTCACCTCCTTTTTTTTTTTTTTTTTGCTTTTAGAAGAAAAAATCAGCACTTTTTGAGGTGTCTGAGGTTATACCAGTTATGACAAATAATTACGAAGAAAATATCCTGAAAGGTGTGCGAGAATCCAGCTATTCCTTGGAAAGTTCCATAGAGCTTTTACAGAAGGATGTGGTACAGCTCCATGCTCCTCGATACCAGTCTATGAGAAGGGTAAGTTCTGTTTTTCAGTCTTGATTTGGTAAGTTTTTGTGAATTAAACTTGCATTTTTTTTCCCCTAAGTATGGGTAGTTACTACGATCACGAATTAACTTTAGGGGCGCCTGGGTGGCTCAGTCTGTTAACGCAGCTGCCTTCAGCTCAGGCCTAAAATCTTTTTTTTTTTTTTTTTTTTAAGTTGACTTCAGATAAAATATGGATAACTTTTCTTCTGTGGTATTATGCTGATAATGGTGTGTATTATTGCTGGGAATAATTTATATTACTGTTCATTAGATTTTTCTTTTTGGGGTGAGAACTAACATCATGCTCCTTATAAATAAGAAACTTGAAGGAATTATTGTTCCCAACCTTCTTTAAACTTTAACTCAATTGGAATTTAAAATGAACATACTTGAAAAGACATCCTCATAATTGCTGGGGTTGGGGAAGGCTAGAGAGAACCATGTACTGGTCTGAAAAAGGTTTATTGGCCTTTGAAAATTAATACACTGAATACACTGGACTGTGATAAGGAACAAAAATGGAAAAAATAGTTTTCTGTAAGTATATAATAAAAATAGCATTTCAGCTGTAATAAGAGTGTAATGTTAGAAGTTTCAAGACACCTTTGCTTAAATATTAACTAGGTTCTGATTTTGAAGAATGGAAATAAAAATACAGGGACTTTACAAGGAAAAAAAACCAGCTTCAGTTGGAGTCTTCACCATGTGCTGATTAATTTAGGTCTTGGTGTGAGGAACATTGGACTGGGTGGCTATAGGTGGACTCTGCAAGATAAAAATTAGAATTAGGCCATGAGGTATTCAGATTATATACTGTCCTGTTAACCTCTTGGTATATAAAATGATACATAGTGGACCTTTTGTACTTGTGAAATGTTTCTATAATCAGACCTATAATTTGTGACATACCTTGTTACAGCTTTGTTCTTTTGAAAGTAATTTTTTTTAATCCTTTTTTAGGATGTAATTGGCTGTACTCAGGAGATGGATTTCATTCTTTGGCCTCGGAATGATATTGAGAAAATTGTCTGTCTCCTGTTTTCTAGGTGGAAGGAATCTGATGAGCCTTTTAGGCCTGTTCAGGTATTTTATTCTAAGTGTGGTGTGCGCCGAGTAAAAACTCCTGGAATAGGGCCTAACTTAAGAAAATTTTGGGGAATATGCATTATTCTAATCAGTTTTTTACTTCATAAGTTGCTCCCATCTGTTTGAATATTGTGATTACAAGAGGAGAAAGCATTTGGGTGACAGAATCTCTTGAGAATGAGGTAGTCCTAAGTACCCCAGTGTGTCTTTAAAATAATGGCCAGAGAAAATCTCTCAGGGTAGATGTTTGTTGATTTGTCGAAGGGCTTATGAATGAACTTGAGAAGATCTCTCCCCTGCACCATCCAGCTCTCTAAGGAGTCTGATCTAAGAAATGCGTTCAGAAACCCTTTCCCAGGGGCGCCTGGGTGGCTCAGTCGGTTCAGCATCTGCTGCTCCTTCCCCTCTTGCCCCTCCCCTACTCATTCTCCCTCCCTCTCTCTCTCAGAGAAATAGTCTTTTAAAAAAATCATTTTCCAAAAATAGATTTGTGTATAAAACTATACAGGAGATACGTATCGTTAATCTGGTAGTGGTTCTTCAGTAATCTTCCTTGACATTGTGCTAACATTTGGACTTGTCACCTGAGGTACTAGATAATTTCCGGTTTTTAAGAGCATTTGCCCAAGTGTCAATGATCCTAATTTTATTTATGATACTTTCATATGCATAAGAGAAAGTACAATAATATTCACCAAAATGTTAGTCATGGTTAGTTCTAGGTCAGGTAGCTAACTTTGTGTGTGTTTGTGTGTGTGTGTGTGTATACACACATTTCATAACTCTACAATGATCATCCTTTTGTTTACAATCAGAAATCTAAATAAAGACATTTAAAGACTCATTTTAAGCATACTACATGTTAGAATGCCTATTTTAGTCTGATTGCTTAGAAATAATAAAAGTTATCATTGAAAAAATTTGCATTCATCCATTACTATGAACCATCTTTATGGTACTTTGTGTATGATAGACAAGTTGGTATACTCCCCCTGTCCCCATGGTAATGTTCCTACCCATCAGCTCAAATTATTATTCCTTTTTCTAAGATTCACTTGACAAATAAGTTCTAAAGATAACATATAGCCTAAATATAGGTAAAAGTATTCTGTATTTATGTCTGCATTGGACAATACCTGACTCACATGAACTTGTTGGAGAATAGAAGTTGGATATAAAAAGCAGGAAGACGGGAATGGTAAGGCATGTTTATCAGAGCAGGTCTTGCACCTCAACTGAGAGGCACTCTTAGGATTTTTACTATTTTTTTAATTCAGAAATTTCCATTGAAAAAGAATTTGGTGCCTTACTCATATTTTTCTTAATTTTTCTTTTTTTAAGATTTTATTTATTTATTTGACAGACACAGCAAGAGCGGGAACACAAGCAGGGGGAGTGGGGGAGGGAGAAGCAGGCTTCCCGCTGAGCAGGGAGCCCGATGTGGGGCTCGATCCCAGGACCCCGGGACCATGACAGAAGCCAAAGGCAGACGCTTAATGACCGAGCCACCCAGGGGCCCCTTTTAAAATTTCTAATACTGTGTCTTTCCATCTGAGACATTATTTGGAATAGTTGTTAAAATAGTCTTGTCTCAAGTCCTACTTTTTGAAATCATGGGTGTTTATTGAGTGTTGACTGTGCTAGACTGTTTCCTGAATACTTTATATACATTTAATCTTCATCCTTATAAGAACTGTGCAGGTGGGAACCTCCTTTTCCACAGGAAGAAACTGAGGCACTTAGAGTTTAGGTAAACAGCACAAGATCATGTAGTTAAGTGGCAGTCAAGACATAAATCCTGTAAAGTTTATGCTCTTAAAATGCTACTCTGTACTGTGGGAAGTGCCCTGTATTATGAAAACCTTAAATTATGGACTGAATGTAAGCACTGTGTAGGATAGAGGTAATATCGTGTAATTTTAGAGTTCAACTACAGGAAACAAGTTCAGTGTAAAGATGAATTTACTTCCCTGGTAATTTAAGATAAATGAGTATCCTGATCCTGAATGAGAAGCCTTAAATATAAATAACTTAGTTCTTAAGGCAAATGAGAAAAGAAAAGGTCAACTTTAACTTGAAAAACTTTTTTTTTTTGTCTTGAAGCACTTGAAAATATAGATAGTAATGAGATTTAGCTGGGAACCAGAGTAAAGGTTGTTTCAATAACGAGTTCCTGCTATATTCAGAGTACTATGGAGTACTGGGAGGTGCTGTTAAAATATCTCTTATTTCCTCTCTATCCCTAAATGCTCTTGCTGCAGGGTAGTTTTTAATCACACTGTTCAAATATTTTGTTACTTCTGGGCATTGCTTTCATGCGGCTTTAATTAGAGTTTTCTTTTTGGTGCAGACTATTCCTTCCCAAACCTTTGTATATTTACTAGGGAGACAGTGCATCAGCAGGAGCCAGGGGCAGAGAGTGAGGGACAAGTAGATTCACTGATGAGCACAGAGCAGAGCTGGACGTCAGGCCTCGATCCCAGGACCCCGAGATCATGATCTGCACCGAAGTCAGATGCTTAACCGACAGAGCCACCTGGGTGCCCCAGGCAGTAGTCTGATTTTTGACACGTGTTTATGTCGGTTCTGTTCCAGGAATGGCATTTCCCAAATTACCTTTTCTGAGTGCTTTCCCCAGGGAAAATTACTGTCCTCTTTCAAGGCCCAATCCAAAATCACCTGCTAATACTGCCCACAGGGTCTACTGTGTTATTTATTTCTCCCTTTTTCACATAGCACTTTGAAGATAACCCATTTTAGGGTTTTACAAATAACGACATCTTATTCTAGGAAAGATCTGAAGCAAGTTAGGTTTTATATTTGCATGTGCTTTGCCCTTTGGGGCAGTATAAGAGCCCCTTAAGGGTGGGATAACCTTATTCATATTTTTTGGTATTTTATGACATTCTTTTCATATACTAAGAATTCAACAAATATTTGAATTTGTGCAGAAGTACAATCGAATATCATATTTACATAGTCGTTTGTAGCGATAGTGTATCTTACGGCTTGAAAGAAAAGCTGGGTGCTAAAAATTCTAGATGGCAGGAACTGATGATTTTTCCATGTTAGTATTTCCTATAGTCTTCGACATAGAGAATAAAAACTGAATCAAATGGACTAACAGTCTTTTTTTTTTAATCAACATTATCTAAGTATGAGGTTCTTTAAAATTTCTGTTTCTTGAGTTCTCCATTAGCCTAGTCATTTCACCCAGCATTTGGTCTCCGCAAACATTTTGTGGGAGGATAGAGTTGATCTTCCCCATGTTAAAAGAGTAAAAGACTGTTCTGATTTAGTAATAGTTCTTCGTAACTTAAAATTTTTTAAATCTGAAAAATGTGCATAACATTTTAAAAAAATTTTGAGGGATTCATATATCCTCAAGCCCATCTGTGTGAGGATGGAACTATATTTCAGGTGTGGGCTTTAAAGCCCCGCTGTTTCATTTCATTAACTGTTTTGATGGGTTAGAACCCATTTATTTTACAGGAGAGGAAGGTGAAGTTTAGAAAAGTTAGGGGATATGTACAAGGTCACATAAGTAGTGAGATGTGCAGCTAAGATTGGAATATATTTCTTTGCAAAAGCCATCCATAGTGGGTGTTCTTTGTAAATAGAGAGGAGGGAGATGTCATTGCACTTAAAGTACTAAGTTGGGAGTCTTGAGCAAAATAGGTTTGAAAAGTCTTGTTTTAGAGGCATCTGGGTGGCTCCGTCGGCTAATCGTCTCTTTATTTCAGCTCATGTCATCATCTAAGGGTCTTGAGCTTGGACTCAGCTCAGTGGGGAGTCTGCTTGAGATTATTCTGTCTCTTTCCTCCTTCCTCCCCCTGCCCCGCCATGTGCACACTCTGTCTCCCTCTCTCAAAAAAAAGAAAGAAAATCTTGTTTTATAGAATTTGACCTAAAATCATTGAGAATTAGGATCTAGTTACTCTGATGCAGAGTTTTTCTTGAAGGTCAAATTCTATAATGGAGTGCTGTTCACTAGAACTTTCTATGATGAAGGAATATATCTCAGTAGACTATTCTGAATGGTGGCCACTGGCCACATGGGATTATTGAGCGTTTGAAATGTGGCTAGAGTTACTGAATTTAGAGAACTGAATTTTAAATTGCATTTAATGAATTAAATTTAAGTAGGCACGATTGGCTGCCATATTGGACAGCATATAGATGTAATAGATGTTTCAGGTAGGGTAACATCTTTGTAGTTACGTGTAAATGTATTTCTTCCTTAGGCCAAATTTGAGTTTCATCACGGTGACTATGAAAAACAGTTTCTGCATGTACTGAGCCGCAAGGACAAGACTGGAATTGTTGTCAACAATCCTAACCAGTCCGTGTTTCTCTTCATTGACAGACAGCACTTGCAGGTAAGCTTTGTTTGTTTAACGACTTAACAGCTCATTTAAAAAGCTCATTTGTTAGCAAACTATTTTCTATCTATGTTAATTTGTTTTGTCACTTCAACACTGCATTATTTTTGAAGTTATTTAAAAATCAAACAGCTATCCTGGGCCTCACCCTAGAACAGTGGCTCCCAAATTTTGCTGCATAGTAAAACTACCTGGGAGCTTTTAAACGTCATGATTCCAGTGTGCAGTAGAGTTTAAGAAACGCTCCTATAGAACTTTTCTAATGTAAAGTATGGTCAACAAGATGGTAACAGATCCTTAAATATATAGAATCTCATGCCCTACTCCGGTCCTACTCGGTCAGAGAATCAATGTTTGGAAGAAAATCCTTAGATGAGTAGTAACACATTTTGAGAAGCTTTGGCCCTAGACCTTTTTAAATAAAAATCTAAAGGGATGAAGTATATCTGTATTTAAAAGATCCACATGTGCTTTATTTTTTTATTTTTTTTAAAACACTAAAATAGTCCTCCTAATTCATTAATTTATCTGATAGTTCATAGTTTAAAAATTATTTTACATACAATTTCTCAAGATTAGACCAAAATTGAGAATGCTATATTTAAACACACTCTACTTATTTTTTAATTTATTTACTTTATAGCTTTATTGAGTTGTTTTTGGCATATAACCTGTGTATCTACTTTTTTTTTAACAATTAACTTACTTATTTAGTGTTCCATGATTCATTGTTTGCGTATAACACCCAGTGCTCCATGCATGCTCTCCTTAATACCCATTACCAGGCTAACCCATCCCTCCACCCTCCTCCCCTCTAGAACCCTCAGTTTGTTTCTCAGAGTCTCCACATGTGTTTTAAATACGCACTTCCAATTTAAGCAATCCAGGTATTCCAGATTATTTTTTATTCTCTAGAACATTGTTTTCATCAACCTAAATCTGAATATCCTCACTTGAAATTTATAACAGATACCTTGTTAAAAATAATTTTAAAAAATAGCAATTTAATTACCATTCATTCAGCAAAGGAGTGCCTATTTACTGTGTGCCAGGCACTGTACACCGTGAACAAGACAGAAATTCTACTCCATTATGGGGGAGGCAGTAGGGCAGAACAGTATGCAGTCAGTGAGCACTCAGAGGAAGTGGGTGCGGATGTGTAAGCTATTGGGTATGAGCTCTGATGGTGACACCAGAGGAGGCCTTTCTGCGGAGGCAGTTTAAAGACTTTTAGAAGAGTATTTGTGATTGTAATTTTGATTTTTCTTTTTTTAAGATTTTATTTGTTTGAGAGAGAGCAGGAACAGGGAGAGGGAGAAACGGGCTCCCTGCTCAGGGCTCAATCCCAGGACCCTGAGATCATGACCTGAGCTGAAGGCAGACACTTCACTGACTGAGCCATCCAGGCGCCCCTAATTTTGCATTTTAGAGCATGGGTTTATTTTTACTTAGTTTGCAAGGTAGTAAAAAATAGAGGTGAATCATACTGTTGTGTCCAAGGAGCGGAAGACCCCTTGACAAGATTACACATGGACTTTGTATCTTATAAGAAAGTTCTAAGTAAATATGGTATTATAGGTACAAATATGAGCTGTGGGAATTACAGAAGAACGTTGATTTCAGTGAAGGCGTTTCATAAAACAGAAAAACCATGACTTGGTTGGGTTTTGGGCGTTTTCTTTTGCATTTCTTCTTTACCTTAGCTCTCCTATGGTGGATATTTTTAAGTTGTCTTATTTTTCATTTTTAACTACTTATGTACTTTGGGTAATTTATTGAGATAATACTGTATAGCAGGCTATTGACTTATATTAATGGATTCTACAACAGAGACCTTTAGTCTTAGAAGATTTAATAATGACTATATACTAATGTAGAGACTTCATTTTCCTGCAAATCTATAGATCGGTAATATATAGAAATGACTGGTGACTTGGAGTTACTTTGTTAAATAAGTAGTAAGTTTCCTGTTTTCTATCAAGGTTGATGTTTTCTGTGCTTTTGAAGCAAATAGCTTCAATCCTTTTAAAGAAAAGAAAATTGTAAGCTCATAAACTAATAAATTTGGAGTGTAGGTAGGGTGACCAGCAGTCAGTCTGTCTGGAATGCCCTGGTTTTTGCACTGAAGTCCCAAGTCCTAGAAACCTCAATCCCCAGGGCAAGGTGGGATGGCTGGTGTCACACCCTCATTGTAGATGCATTTGGTCTTCAGTGCTCTTAGGTCCCCCTTCTTTCAGGTTCTGTTCTTGATCTTCATAAACTGGAGATCTGTGGCCATATTTATTTGTGCTATATAGATGAATGAGGGAACTGATAGGAGAGTGGCCAACACAGAGCCTGTTATGTATCAGATGGGAAGAGCTTTACAAGTAGGAGCTCACTTAATCCTCACAACAATTCTGTGAGTTGTAGATCTTATTACTCCTGTTTTATAGGTGAGGAAATCAGGAAACTAAAGAACTTGATCATCTAGCAGAGATCTTGTGTCCTTTATCAAAACATAAGATGTATGAAAAGAGGGGCGCCTGGGTGGCTCAGTCGTTAAGCGTCTGCCTTCAGCTCAGGTCATGGTCCCAGGGTCCTGGGATCGAGCCCCACATCGGGCTCCCTACTCTGCGGGAAGCCTGCTTCTCCCTCTTCCACTCACCCTGCTTGTGTTCCCTCTCTTGCTTTGTCCCCGTCTGTCAAATAAATCAATAAAATCTTAAAAAAAAAAAAAAGTACGGAAAGAGCTAGACCAAATGATAATTTTGGATGGGCAAGTGGTAGAGAGGCACGTTCCTGGAGTCTGGATTCTAACCCACATGCAGCCTTCTACTGGCTATGAAATCTTCTGTGAGCATGTTCTTTGTTGAGTAAATGATAAAAGGTGGTAACACTGAAAATGAAAAAAAAATGTGCGTAATGTGTAGGTTCATTACATATATAGACTGCTTTTGCCTTTTTTTAAGAGATGCTATGGTGAAAAGTAGTTCTTTGAAGGCGGGTCAGGGAGTGGCTTCCATTTACTAGCAGTGGTGATTTGTGAAGGCACCTAGCACGTTTTGCCGTATATCAGATGTGAAATAGTAATAGTGATGGTAATACCTTTGCTTTCTTCCAGTCCTTTACCCTAAGGTTATGCTTCAGTCTTTTCTTTTTTACTTGTTTCTTATCTTTTCTCTTCTACTCTGACATCATTTCTTGTCTTTTCTGTATACAGACCACAACTTCATGCCTCTATTTAGATAATCTGTCTCTGTGAAATGTCTTTAACCTTACTTTCCATTAGCAAGTTGTCATGGTTGACTTTCTGGACCTTAAAATTTTTTGTTTTGAATAAATTCTCTAAACATTTAGTTTATAATCATGTTTATTCTTTCTGTATTTTATATGGCAAGGTTTTGTCTTCCTGACTAGATTGAGGTCCCTGTGGGGTACAGACCATAATTTATTCCCTTACTCTGTATGCTGTGTTAGTGTCCGTAAGTGCTTTATACAATTGTGGGAGAGTGACTTCATGTGACAATTGATCAGTTATGTTAAAGCCTTATTAAGATTATTAAAATTATTCCTCTTTCAGACTCCAAAAAACAAAGCTACGATCTTCAAGTTATGCAGCATCTGCCTCTACCTGCCACAGGAGCAGCTTACCCACTGGGCAGTTGGCACCATAGAGGACCACCTCCATCCTTACATGCCAGAGTAGAGTGCTGACCAGCAAAATGGGCAAGATCAGAGAGTGCAGCAGCATTGGTTTTCTTGTTTTCTTACACTTTATTCTTTCAGAGTTTAAAGAAAATGGACTCATGCACAGAACACTATGCATTTTGAAACTTGTTCATCCTGGATTTTTTTTTTTTTTTTTTTTAAATTTTGTGTCTCAGAACTTAAAAAATTAGGTGTCTTCTGCACGGACTGTGTGAAAGAAGATGCTTTGCATATTTGCTGCACTGCATTAGCATCTTACTAAAAATGTGAAATGAAAGGACTATTGTTCACTGAAATGCTTAAATGTATCTGAAAGCACAAGGTGATACTCATTTTTGATGGTCTTTCCATTTGTGCTGGTTTTTGCCTCTTTGACATCTGTCAGTATTTAGAGGGTGAGAAGTGAATGTAAAAGGTATAAATAACATTTAAAAAAACTTTAATAGCTTTGCTGTAATCACCGTTGTTCCAGAGCACTCTCAGATTCACTCTGATGATCAGAAGTGGTTGTTTAAAAAAAAATACATAGATATACAACCATGGGAAAGAAATCTTAAATGGGGGAAAAAAAAGCATCTCATTGTAGGCATTCTTGCCTCATGTTTTACTGGGCCATATTTGTTTCCTGGTACTCATTAAATGTATGTGTTTTATTTCCAGATCTCTTTCCCCAAGTTGCTGTTACAAGAGTATTCTGCTGAATGTGGATACAGTTTATACACATTAAAGCAGATCTGGAGTCTGAAGTAGCTAAAGCAGCTATAAAACTGAGAAATACATTCATAGCTGCAGAAACCATGATAGGTAGAGGACTTTCCTTTTTGGTTTTTGTTTTTTGGTTTTAAAGAGAAGAGATTTTTATTACAAAGAAAGAAAATCCAGTGAATTGTGCAGAAATACTGGTTTCTACACCATCCTAAAGGAACACTTATGAGGGTTTTTTCGAGTAGAAAAAAGTTACTGAAGTTGGGATCTAAAGTTGTTAAACCGTTGAGTGTCAGAGCTCTAAAAGCAGAACTCATTTTGTGCAATGAACATAAGGAAAGACTACTGTATAGGTTTTTGGGTTTTGTTTTGTTTTTTTTTTCTTTTTAATGAAGAAAAGCTTTGCTTAAGGGTTGCATACTTTTATGGAGTAAATCTGAATGATCCTACTCCTTTGGAGTAAAACTTAGTGCTTACTGGTTTCCAATTGTATTTAGCTTCTGGTTGGAATTTGAAAAAATGAAAACCTAAATAAAATAGGTGAAAGTTCCCTGACTTTTCAGGTGAATACACAAAACTTGATGTGGTAACTTTTTTTTCCAAGTCAATGGGTAGGTGTTACTGAGGACCGTGGGGGTCCATAATTAAACGGCCAATTCAGAAGGACAAAAAATGGCAGACGCGTTTGTAATTTTAGGAATAGGAATCAGACGTTTTGTCAGCTTTAACAGCAGGTTGGCTTGTTCCCTGCCTCATGGAAAAGAAAGAGATTTTGTAGGCTCCACACCCAAGGTGGGGCTCGAGCTCACAACCCCAAGATCAAGAATCACAGGCTTCACTGACTGAGCCAGACTGGTGCCTCAGAAAAAAATGTTCTTTATTTCAAAAGGTTTCACATGTTTTCTCATCAATTGAAAATTAGAATCTGTTTGAACCAATGCCTGTGAATGTTTATCATGGGCAGTTCCTGTTCAAAACTCTGGTCTTACGAGTGGAGAGAGTTACAGAGGTTTAGTTAACTTGCCCAAGCTCACATCCAGAGCAGGGAGGGATTTAAGACCAGGCTGGCTGGCTCTGTAGAATCTAAGCTCTTAACTGTTCTACTGTATTGAATTATACTTGCTGGAGTTACTCAGGCAGGCACTTTAGCAGCCCTTGGTTTTTATTTTAGAATAAATTTAGAGAAGTTGTAATAGAAAGCTCCTGTATAACCTTTACCCATGTCTTAGCCACATTTTCCCCCTACTTTTTCTACATATATTTATACATTTATTCTGAACCATTGAGAGTTTGGTACATAGGTCATGCATACATCTTTACTCCTTACCCCCTAGTACTTGGCATATGTCCCAAGTACAAGGATATTCTTGCATAACCACAGTAAAGTTACCAGATTCAGGAAATTAACACTGATACACCTTCATCTGTCGTCCATACTCCAGTTCTGTTAATTGTCCTAATATTCTCAGGTTCTATCCTAATATCCTGTGTGTTTTAATCCCCCTACCATTCACTACAGGACCCTTGCATTTAGTTGTCAAATCTCTAGTCTCTAACTGGCCTTTAATGACTTTTTTTAAGATGACAGACTGAGTGAAAGCACAAGCAGGGGGAGCAGCAGGCTCTCTGCTGAGCAAGGAGCCGGATGTGGGACTTGATCCCAGGACTCGAGGATCACGACCTGAGCCGAAGGCAGATGCTTAACCAACTGAGCCACCCAGGCGCCCCTGACCTTGACATTTTTTAAAAGTAGGCTTAATGTTTTAAAATAGTGTTCCTCATTTTGCATTTGAATGATGTTTCTTCATGGTTAAATTTGGGATTATGCACTCTGGCCAGTACCCAATTCAAGTGACCTCACTCTTTCCAGTTAATATCCAGAAATGCACTGTCACTTTGTTCTTGGTTGATGTTAATTTTGATTGGTCAAAGTGGTGTCCTGTTTCTGCATTGTATAGTTATAATTTTTCTCCTTGCAATTACGAAGCAATCTGGGAAACAACATGAACATGTCCTGCTCTTTATCAGAAGCACCACTGATGATTTCTGGTTTTTGCCGTAACCAATCTTTTTTTTTTTTTTAAGATTTTATTTTTGACAGAGTACAAGCAGGGAAAGCAGCAGGCAGAGGGAGAAGCAGGCTCCCTGCTGGGGAGGGGGGACTCGATCCAGGACCCTGGAATCATGACCTGAGCCAAAGGCAGACGCTTAACCGTCTGAGTCACCCAGACGCCCCTGCTGTAATCACATGACAGCTGCAAAATGGTAATATCTACCCCTCCCCTCCACACTGAGCAGCATTCTGTCATGAGGAGCCCTCCTGTCTCTGCCACGTGTTATCTACCTCACTGATAATGTGATAGAACAATTTCTTTTTCTCAGTGCTGCAGAGTTTGCATCCTCTTAAACCATTTTCTTGAACACTTGGCTTACTTTCAAGCACAAGGTATGTTAACGTCAGTTTCCCTATCCCAGCCTCCCAGTCCTGAAATCAGCTGTTTTTCTCCAAGAAGCCCAGGTTCCTTTTAGAGGGAAATAACTAGAAGTTAAAAACTGGGTGCCCGCCCTGTGGGCTCACTGCTACTGGGAGGTCTACTTCTGTCCTCTGAGCAGAGAGCAGCATGACAAGCAAAGGATAAATTAGCATTTAACTGTGGATAGTGTTTCCAAATTTAAAATTGCTTCCTATATCTCTCATAGCTTAATACTGGACTTTAAAGTAATCTCATCTCAAAATGGTCTTGCTGGCTTCGCTTTACCTAAGTTTTCAGAAACCCTTTCAGCTAAGAATTTTTTTGGTCCAAGTATCATCTATATAAGATTACAAACTGAAGAGGTTTAAAATCACAAATAGAGACAGTCCCATCCTATGTCCTACTTGGTTCCTATGTCATTTTCCCCAAAGAAAATAACTATTTCTGGTTGTGCTAATTTATTTTGAAAGTACATTTGTTCAAGTCAAATTTACGCTTGGTCTTTATTGTTGGGTGTCTCGGCCAAACTGCTGGGCTTGGTTTCCCAGGTGTTTTGTGTGTCTGCCTTGTGCTACTAATTTTCCCGTGGTCTTGTTCGTCAGATCCACAGAGGTAAATGCAAGTGTTCTCCCTTGCTTCAGAACATGCGCTGTTATTACTATGTCTTCTCCTATTTTAGCAGGTGACATGTACCTTGAAGGGAAACAGATTTAAATATAGTTAGCAGCAAATTTTTTACTTTTTCAATTTTTAAAAATTTTTTAACAGCAATTTTTTAAGAAGGGAAGTTGTGTGCATCTCTTAACAGCCTTCTTTTGTGTTGCTTATTTTCCTCAAAGTAGTTTAGGAATAGTATCAGTAAGCTTTCTGTCCTATCAAATTTGAATGGCTGGTCCTTGACCAAGTTCATCTTCCCCATTCCATATCCACGCAAGTTTCTTTTCCCATAAATATGGGAAGGCGTCCCCCCTCATGCCTTTAAGTTTCCCACCTGTTTATTTGGGGCTGGTGAAAGAATTTCTCCAGCTTTTATTTAATCTACTTAGCTTCCCCGGTGAAGTATTGCCTGGCGTCTCTACTGTAGGTTCCCCCTTACCTGCGGTCCAGAAGGAAGCAGATGATCCTCCTGATCTATTGTCAGAAGGTCAACAGTAGCCTAATGCTGCACCCCTGCCTGTCACTCCCCTCAATTCATCATGTAGGCATTGCATCTCATGTCCTCACTAGAAGGGTGCACACAGTACAAGGTAATTTGAGAGAGAGACCACATTTGTATAGCATCACAGTATGTTAACACTTGTTCTACTATCATCGTTAATCTTACTGTGCCTGGTTTATAAACTTTATCACAGGTGTGTATGTATAGGGAAAAACATATATATATATATATATATATATATGTTTTAATGGGTTGGGTACTATCTGTGGTTTCAGGCATCCACTGGGGGTCTTGGAATGTAGCCCTGGGGGTAAGAAGGGGACTACTGTATCTTATATCAGTATTTAGGATTCACTCAACTGCACTGGATTAAATTCTGCACTTTACTGCACTCAAAACGATTTAATGTAAGAACTATTAAGAATTGATATGAGGCCCTTAGAATCCTGGTGATGAGTTGAATATATTTTTTTAAGAGACACTTCCCTACCTATCTTAGTCATAAGCTGTCACTCATTTATTTTTGAAATATCTACAGTAAATCTCTGAGACTGTTTCTGTTCATGTGAGTCAGTTTTTGAAGCCCAGGCAGTTTTTTATTGTGACCAATACTTTGACCACACATTTGTGGAAACTATGTTTGACTTACTAAAGATTCTTTAAGCTTGTGAGAGAGCAGTAGTATCTCAGAAGATCATGAGATGCAGTGCTCAGTTTGAAGACCTCAACTCTTAATAGAGGCTCCTGAGGCAAAGTGGAGTCATCTGCTGGCCTGACCCCTCACCATGGGGACTAAGGTAAGGACTGCAGAATGTGCTCACCAGCACAACAGGCAGAACCTCTGTAGATCTTAATTTCACGAGCATTTGCCTCTTGTCCTGTGATTTGCTTATTGCACCCTCAGTTTATTCCTATGGTAAAGAAGGGCTGAATTTTCTAAAGGTAGCCTAATAAAAGATTTAGACTGTTTAAAAATCTGATAACTGACATTCTTTCCATTGCCCTCATGTTGCATAACATTGGCTTTCCCCCCCCAATTGCTGCCTGTCCCCCCAACAGTCATTGTTCTGTTGTGTAGGTGGAAAAAGCAGTTGTCTTGAAACTAAACCCCTGGGCGCTGCACTCTGTTGGTGGGACCAGCAGTGGTACTGGTTAATGCTGGAAGCGAATTTCTCACACTGGAAAGCAGATGACCCCTGCAGGCATTGTCACAGTGGTGGGTGACAGCCTGACCTCTGGGGGGCTGCGTCCTGATCATGTAGTTTATGTCTGCAGAGCACGTTCGAGGTTGCAAGGAAACATACAGGATTGCAAAACTGGACATCTGTGTTCACCTTGTTACAAGGCAGTGTATACTTTATGAAGGTTTATCCAACTTCTCTTTGAATTCTATTCAGGCTTTTTTCTAGGCACTCAGTACAGCCCTAAGACATCCGGACAAGTGGCAGTTGTAAGGACTAGAATAGTTCCAGGCTGTGAGTCTGTGATGGTTACGCACCCCCCACAGCCAGCCCCGTATACGTAACAGGAACTGAATGTTTGCTGTTTGGAATGTTTAGGTCATTGGCCTTTTATTCCTGATGTGGAAATTACTCCCTCTAGTTCTAGATTCTTAGGCTGTGGGATCTTTCAGGGCCCACTGATAGGTACACTTCAGGGTGACCAGCTCAGGGCACCCCCAGTTGTATTTGTTATAAAGGTATTTAGTCTCAGTTGTTTGGAGTTTTCACATTAAAAAAAGTTACTTGTAGTACAGTCTGGATACATACGTGATGTTCATATCTACACTGACTCCTGGTGCCCCCCATTCAGTGCACAGCAGAGCCATTGTTGATATATTATCCACTAAGGTGGCCGTCAGACCACCATGGAGAGTGCCATATTTATTGGTGTGGTCGTCTTCTACTTTCATTTCACAAACCACTTTCCCAGGGGCAGCAGACACCAGAGTCACCTAAGTGCAAAAAAAAAAAAAAAATTTTTTTTTTTGACCATTCTTTGGTATTAAGAAAGCCCAAACAGCCCATCAAGACTTATCACTGTATTAAACGGAGTCACTCCAGGGGCGCCTTGCTGACTCAGTCGGTGGAGCAAGCATCTCTTGATCTCTCAGTTATATAAGTTCAGGCCCCACGTTGGGTGTAGAGATTGCTTAAAAAATAAAATCTTAAACTAGGTCATCCCAAAAAAGTTGATTAGAAATTCAAATGTTACCAATATCTCTGATAGAAATTAACCCATATGTAAATTCTTCTTAAAGAAAAAGGAATATTTAGGGAAAGAGTTTTTGTTAATCTCCACTCTGCAGAAATATTCTGAGCTTTTCAGCCTTATGTGTGACAACCTGACATCTCTCAATGTCTCCACAGAAACTGTGGACCAACAAAGCTAGCTGGTTCCTGTGATTTGGATGTTCCCTACTTTTTGCAGAGAATAATTTTTATAATGACTTTGTAATGAATGGTTTAAACAATTTAAAAAACAGACTGGAAGAATTCAGTAAATCAGTGAGTTACCAGAGTCAACAAACTTATACCGTAAACCCATTTTAATATAAAAAGCTTAACAATAGAATCCAGCAGAGTTGGGGCACCTGGGTGGCTCAGTAGTTAAGCGTCTGCCTTCGGCTCAGGTCATGATCCTGGGGTCCTGGGATCGAGCCCCGCATCGGGCTCCCTGCTCAATGAAGAGCCTGCTTCTCCCTCTCCCACTCCCCCTGCTTGTGTTCCCTCTCTCGCTCTCTCTCTCTGTCAAATAAACAAATAAAATCTTTAAAAAAAAAAAAAAAAAAAAAAAAAGAATCCAGCAGAGTTGAACTGTGGCTTTTACGGTCCTGCCCATTTATAGTATTTTAATGAAAAAGAATTACATGAAAGCGTCTCAAGCATTAAATGGTTAGATTCTACCTAACTGCTACTTGAGCATTTTCCTATGCTAGGCGCTGAGCCAGACACTAACATATCCTACACAATAAGGAAGGGATAATTTCCATTTTGTAGGTAACTTAAATTCAGAGTGGTTTGTTGTTGGGGTCACCTATGATGTGACAGACTGAGTTAGATCTAGGAATGTCTTCAAGTCTCAACACCAACTAGGACGTCTCTGGATATACACTGGCCTTTAATGGCTCCCACCAGGAACAACACACTTTGGAGTTTCAAAAGCCCAACTTTAGGGTTTTGCTGTTGTTTATCCCCAAAAACTAGCCCCTGAAGTAAAACAGAAACAGAGCCATACATAAAAATCAAAAAAGATGGTCCCTAGGAGGAGCTCTGTCCAGACCCCAGAATTCTCCTCAGGCCTAAAAATCATCCTAAATAATTTTATGTCCTGTTTTACCTAACAGGCACATCAGTGGCAAGTAAATACTAGAATAGGATCAAGTGTATTCATACAACAAATGATCTAGCCACAGGACGTCCTCATAAACTAACAGACGTACCAAGCAGGACCACGGTGTAGACGCCCCCTGTTTGGGCACTTACATGAGCACAGCAAGCACTGGCAATGTGAAGATGAACGAAATCCAACCCCTGCTCCTAAGGGGTTCACAACCTAAAGAGGTGAGTACGTGGGGGAGGGACTTCCTAGAGACAGACTAAATACAAGTTGCTAGAGGATATCGAACTCACAGAAGTACGTGTTTTCAGAGAACAGACATTAGGAAAGGCTTCCTGGGGAATGACAACTGAATCCTGACAGGCCAGGAGGAGTGAGGCAAGTGAAATGGGGAAGGAGGCCAGGCAGCTCAGGGAAGAGAACTAAATAGGGAGCCTCACAGACGGTGCAATGTAAAGGTGTGGTGTCTTTAGTAGAGGTTAGTTGTTAAAGTCCCACTTGATCATCTGACTTTAGCTGGGATGACAGGAGGTAATACAAATGTTAACTTCCTACTGCGGAACACAGTTTTCAACTCTTTCTTCCAACTTGGAAGGCCAAAGGACACACTCCTAGAGTGGTTTAAAATCTTTACTGGAAGAGAGATCATTCTGTAATGGTCACCCTGATAACTGCAAGAGAAGTGCTTTTATGTGTTTCCATTTCTCGTCTCCCCTATATAAAATAAAGGAATTCAGCCAATGGGAGCTAACAAAGGGAATGTCCTAGCCAACCTCCCAAAGCTAATCTTTTTGGGGAAGAGGCCAATGGAGAGCTAACCTCTCTTTGATGAAGAATGGGGGTATGAGGAGAATGCTGTTAAAAAAAAAAAAAATCTCATTCTCAGTTAAGATACAGGCTCTAGGGGACACACCTGTTTAACTCTGTGTTAGGGGCCATACTCAGCAACCCTGCATGTATTAATTCCACCTTCATTCATCTCTGAAGTCGACACTTTATCTTCCTTGAACTCCGATATGTCAGGTTTAACCACTATGCAAAATGCCCTCCCTTCCCATCTCACCTGGACTGCTGCAGACAACTAGGTCCCCATTCACTCGGTGTCTTGTGGGAGGATGGCAAGAAAGCCTTTTATGATGCAGTGGGGTCAGGGATATATTTGCTGTGGCCCCAACAATACAGAGAATTAACTGCCCGGATACATTCCATTCCCAGGATCCCACGGGTCAGGCAGCGGCAGGTGGTTGGCAAGAACCTTTATGGCTCAGCCCAGTGTTTACCCATGGGCTCCTTAGTTTATCATAAAAATTATGTATGTGCACATACAATCATCTCTCCCTTTTCTATATGGCCTGCAATGAACTGTCTCTTCCCTGTTCCTCATGCATTCACCTGAGTCTGTGACTCGTGCAGCACGGCGCCCTCCTCCCCTCACCCAAACACCTAGGCTCCAATTCCATTACACGTGACATACCTGAGGTGAAGGTCTCCCCCTTCCTCCTTTACCTTTTCAGTAAAGACAGAAGGGATGCCCAGTAATCAACAGCAGTGAAGGAGATGGTCCCTTGTAGGAGCTCTGTCCAGACCCCAGAATTCTCCTCAGGCCTTGCTTGATGTGTCCGGTCGTTCTGTCCTTAAGAGACCGCCATCACTGTGCCTGCTGCTGATCCCTGTGGACTAGCTCACCAGACTGCCTGCTGGTGGACGAAGGTCTGTCTCTGGCTCCCTAAGGGTGTCTGTGCTGGGCCCAGAGCAGGGTGGCCCGTGGCATGAGAACATGTGGGTATATGAAAACAGAGGAGTCCCCCAAGACAGGAGACTGAGGACCACACATACACAGAAAAGCAAAGAGAACGAGAGTTTCATGTTGTTTGTGCAAGAGGCTGTTTGCAAGCAGTTTGCCCTGATGACAGACACTGCTGACTTCCTAGGCAACCCAGTGCAGATACCAGAAGTGTCTGCGAACAATGTATAAACATGCCTTCCTAAAAGCAGTAAAGGAGGCGGCCACAGCAACAAACACAGCACAGTTATGCTCAGGGCCTGCAAGGGCGTGTGCCGCAGGCGTGCGCGGGGCACGCTGCAGTGGCAGGCCCGCACCTCGGGTGTGCAGCATGTGTCTTTAACACACAGGCAGCTTTAGAGGGATGGTGAGGAGCACTCGGATCCTTCACCGAGGTCTCCCCCCTGTAAAGACATAACAGCACTGCCCTCATAGGGTTTTGTCAAGATTGAGATAAACTTCAAACTGAGCAACAAGAGCAAGGCCTGGCATGTCACAGGTGACCAAAACACTTGAGTTCTCATCCTTACTATTAAAGCTGTGACTCGAACACAGCCATCAAACCGCAAGTCGGTTTGTATAGTTTCACATGGATCTTTCTTAAAATTGCCCAACTGGAACTGTCTTAAGACTAAAGTCAGTCACGCAATGACCTAATTATTAGACTTAATGGATATGTTTCAGCCCCTCTCAGTGTTTCCTGGCCCTTCCCTAACTCCCATGCCCACCTTCTGGGTTTCCTCCTCCTCCCCTGGCCACTCCACAGTCCGTTTGCTGGCTGCTTCTCCAGTGCCCACCAGAGTCTGAGGGTCAACTGATCATTCAGCTTCACAAGACTACCCAAGGCCACACCTGCTTTCAGCTTCACTCTGCAGGCTAGAGGACAGGTTCTCTAACATTGCGCACTCTCACAGACTGTCAACAGCACAGTCTTTGGAGCGGACACAGGATTAGATCCCACTGCCTAGCTGTAAGGCCTTGGGAAAGTTAGCTTCAATGGTCTCCTGCATAGAAGGGGATACCAATAGTACCTACCTCCCAGCACGGTCAGGAGGACTACACGAACTATGTAGGTAAACTGTTAGTATGGCGTCTGGCTCGGCGTACTCAACATAAATGTCATTACTGGAAAGGACCACAGCCCACCTGCTCATCTTGCAGTCAGAATTAAACTCTGCTTCGTTTGTGAGGCCTGAACAAACTGAATGAGCAGGTGCCTTTCTGAAGGTGATCAGATCAGATCCCCCACCTAATCTTCTGCGGTGTGGTTCCTTTCTGAGCATACGAATGCTAGTGCTCAAGCTGTAGGCAGTGTAACTCTGGGGGGCAGGGCGGGGGGAGAAAGCAAGAAGTCTAGTAAGCGATGCAAGCCATGCGCAACCTCAGATAGTTGTTGGCTAGACGGTCTTCAAGGGACGAACAGCCTGAGAGGGAAAGCTGCCCCCAGCCTGGAGTTCTCACTCCTCTGTCCTCACTCGCCCTCCATCGGCAAACTCTATCCACTTTATCTTCCAACATGGCCAGAACCCAGTCACATCCCTAGCGCCCATCCACAACTCCTCACCCTTCCACTGTGGCCCAAGCTGTCACTTCTCCAGCCATGGCAGCTGCCTTCCCCCTCACCTTCCTGCTCCCGCCCTGGCCGGCCTTGTGTCTGCTCACTCATTAGCAACGGGAGTGCCCCAGCCACACGTCAAGTTGTGTCAGTCTTCTGTGCAAACCCCTTGAAGTAAAAAACCGAAGTCCTTACAGTAACAATGAAGCTGTATGTGAGATCTCACCTCCAGCTCGCCCACCTGGGATTCCTCTGGGAACTGCCGCAAGCACAGTGTTTAAAAGTCTCAGACCCTTTACGTTTGCTGTTCCCCTGCCTGGAACACTCTTCCACTGCTTCCAATGCTTCTTTTGTTGCATTGGAACAAAAAGTTACTGTTAAAAAGTAGCATATCCTTGGATTTTATAGTGTTCGCTATTCGAAAACATTAAATACATTTGTCTATTATTTCCTATGTTTTTCACAAAAGCCCTTGGATATAATTAGGGAAGGTTACTTACATGTTGAAAATATAGCCCAAATGTTGTTTCCAGGAGGAAAACTTTGGTCCAATGGCCTATATTCTTCCTACAAATGACAGCAGTTGGTCTGTGTTTAAACTCCACTTTTAAATTACATATTGGCAATTTCCCAATACTCTTTCCTAATCAGAAAGAAAACAAGCAGGCGTGCCTGGGTGGCTCTGTCAGGAAAGCGTCTGACTCTCGATTTCGGCTCAGGTCACAACCTCAGGGTTATGAGATCAAATCCCGCATCTGGCTCTGTGCTGGGCATGGAGCCTGCTTAATTAGGACTCTTTCCCTCTCCCTCAGCCTCTCCCTGACCCCCCTCCCTCTCTAAGAAGGAAAAAAAAAGGAAAACAGGCATGCATACGTTAAAGTATTTAGAAAAAACCTAAAAGTTCTTAGGTTGTTTAATGTCTTCCAAATCTGACATAACCAAGGACTTCTGTTATTCATATTTATTTATAAATGATTCCTACATAACACAATTTCTACAAAGACACTGAAAACTAGGAATCTGGGCTAGTCTGTTCATGCACCCAAGTGGACAGACGCCAACCCTGCCTGACTCCATAGCACCACTCTACCTGGAACTTGGCTTTCCTACCTTACTGCAATTACTTATTTTCTAATCCTCTAGGTTGCAAGTGCATCTTTTTTTTTAAAGATTTTATTTATTTTTTAAAGATTTTATTTATTTATTTGACAAAGAGAGAGCAAGAGAGGGAACACAAGCAGGGGGAGTGGGAGAGGGAGAAGCAGGCTTCCCTCTGAGCAGGGAGCCCGACGCGGGGCTCGATCCCAGGACCCTGGGATCATGACCGGAGCCGAAGGCAGACGCTTAAGGACTGAGCCACCCAGGCGTCCAGGCAAGTGCATCTTAAGTGTAGACATTGTCTCTTACTCTCTTCCTCAGAGCACTACGGGTACCTGTTTGTTGAAGACTCGAACTCGAAAGTCCTTTCCCGCTCTGAAACCAAGCAATTGTCTTCACAACTGATAATCATTTAAACACTCCCTGACTTATGACGGTTTGACGTTAAGATTTTTCAACTTTATGATAGTGTGACAGCATTACACATTCAACAGAAACTTCGAATTCTGAATTTCGATCTTTTCCCAAACTAGTCATATACAGTGCCACGCTCTCGACATGCTGGGCAGTCCCAGCCGGCTCCAGGCTATAGCAGGAGGGTAAGCAACTATACTTAAAATTATTCTTTAACTAGGGGTGCCTGGGTGGCTCAGTGGGTTAAGCCTCGGACTCTCCACTTCGGTTCAGGTCATGACCACAGAGCCTCGGACTCTCCACTTCGGTTCAGGTCGTGACCACAGAGCCCCAGGCAGGCTGCATCTCCTGTGAGATCGAACCCTGCCTTGGGCTCTGCACTGGGCCTGTAGCCTGCTTCAGATTCTCTCTCTCCCTCTCCCCCTCCCTGCTCGCTGGCGTTCTCTCTCTCTAAAAACAAAAAACAAAAAAGAAAACAAACAAAATTCTGTACCTATACAACCATTTCCTTTTTCACTTGCAGTACAGTACTCAGTGAACTACAGGAGATATTCAACACTTTTTACAAAATAGGCGTTGTGTCAGATGATTCTGCCCAGCTGTAGGCTAGGAAGTGATCCGAGCACATTCAACACAGGCGAGGCGAAGCTACGCAGGCTAGGTGTATTAAATGCACTTTCGACTGGACGCCTGGGTGGCTCAGTCGGTTGAGCCACTGCCTTCGGCTCAGGTCATGGTCCTGGAGTCCCGGGATCGAGTCCCGCATCGGGCTCCCTGTTCAGCAGGGAGTCTGCTTCTCCCTCTGACCCTCTTCCCTCTCGTGCTCTCTATCTCTCATTCTCTCTCTCTAATAAATAAATAAAATCTTTAAAAAAAAATGCACTTTCGACTGACCATATTTTCAACTGGGCAGTGGGTATAATCCGGAAGGAACCCAAACGTAAACCAAGGCAGATCTGAACTCAGTTATATGTACACTCCCACGAAATACACTATGCGCTTGACCTGACACATGGTCATGACTACACAGGTGAATTTACCGGGGCAGTCCAACAGAATCCAGCGAGAGATACTAATTCAGCGCAACCCGCACCCAGCATCGGGCTTTCTTTAGAAGCCAACGCTTCCACCGCAATACCTTTTCCAAAACTCTATCAAAACCGGGGACACGGGTCATCGCCTTCATCAGCTCCCTCACATTCTGTGTCAGGAGGCTCATCGTGGACCGCTGCGGCTTCCGGGCACCACGCAAGAAGGAAGCCCGGGCGAGCCGGGAGGCGGGGGCCCGACGTCCGCCAAGGAGCAAAGGACAAGCAGGGCGAGGAAGGCCGCGACCTCTCCGCCCGCGCTCGGGCACCCGCCGCCAGCGCCCCAGCGCCTCGCGCTCTGACGTCGCACCGCCTCCGCGTTGTGACCGCGCACGCGCCGTGTGCCCCGCCCCCGCCCCCGCCCCCCGCCCCCCGCCCGGGCCGCCTCTCCCGCGGCGCAGCCACGCCTATCGCCCTCCGGGGGCGGGGCGCGTTTCCAGCCGGGCGGTTGAGAAGGGTGCGCCGGGCGCCTGCGCAGATCCGAGCGTCGGCCCTCCCGCCCTGGTGAGGGGCGCGGTGGGCCCCGGGGCGAGGCGATGGAAAGGCCGGGCAGCTCGGAGGCGGAGCGGCCAGAGGGCGAGCCCGAGGTGAAGAAGCGGCGACTTCTGTGCGTGGAGTTCGCTTCGGTTGCGAGGTGCGACGCCTCCGTGGCTCAGTGCTACCTGGCCGAGAACGACTGGGAGATGGAAGTAGGCTTCGCCGCTCTCTTCCGCCTCTTTACCTCGGGCCGGGGGGCGCCCAGGTCTCACGGCTGTTTTGTGTTTTTCAGAGAGCGCTGAACTCCTTCTTCGAGCCGCCCGAGCAGGAGAGCGCGGCGGAGAGCCGTCCTCGCGCGGCGGCGGGGCCCGAGTCCTGGTGAGGAGGCGCGCGGGCCGGGCGGAGGCGCGGGGCTGGGGGCTTCTCCGCGCGCGCCGCCGTCCGGGAGGGAGACCGCTCTGCCGCGTCAGAGGAAGGACGTGGGCGCTTCGGGCTGAAGGAGGGAGGCCGCGTCGCTGTGGAAGAGCGGGACCCGGGGAGTCCCCGGCTTCCCGGGCTGTTCATTCATTCACTCCCTGCGGCGGACAGCGTGGTGGTGTGTGCGCTGCTCGCGCGGCCCAGCGGCCTTACTCCCCCCGGCGGCCTGGCCACCTTTCCGGGTTGGTGCCCCTCACCCTCTCCCTCCTGCCACGCAGGTTGTTACGGGGCATCCAACTTTCGCTTTCTCCAGTGGGCGTTTTCTCTGGCCTTGCATCCTTTGTAAAGATACTTATTGATGTAGAAATGGTTGGGGTTTGGAGCCCGCGACCAAGCAAGAAGTCTTTTTTTTTTTTTTTTTAAGATTTTATTTATTTCAGAGCGCGAGCGAGCGCGCGCAAGCATGAGCGCTGGGAGGGGCAGAGGGGGAAGCAGGCTCCCTGCTGAGCGGAGAGCCAGGTGCGGGGGTGGATCGCAGGATGCTGAGCCCCTGACCTGAGCGCAAGGCAGCCCCGGAGCGGACTGAGCCACCCAGGCGCCCAAGAAAGAATTTCTTGAGCCGTCTTTGGTTCAAAAAAGGTGGTTTTATTACAGCACGGGCACAGGACCCCTGGGCAGGAAGAGCAGTGGCCCATTATATGCTTTCAGGGTGGGAGGGGCTTAGGGACAGCGCGAGCCTCCAAGGTGTTTTGGAAGCAAGGTTTCCAGGACCTTAAGGGGGCTCGCTATTGTTAGGAAAAGGTCATTTGTTACCGTCTAGTAAGAACTCAGTCGTGAGACCCTTCAGATGAATATCGGTGGGTCCTGTGCTTGGGGGACGACGATTGCCAACACGTAGCTTTGGGGAGGGTGGTAGAGATAGAGGAAGTTTCCAAGGGTATTTTTGTATGTTGAAGTTGACTTACAGGATCCTGGGGGGGTTTGGCTGAAATTGACTTTTGACCTTAGCAAAGTATGAACATCAACGCAGCTGAGTTCCTAGAGGAAGGTCACGCTGCCTGTTTCAAGGACTTGTCAGTGGGCTGTAGGTAGTAAGGAAACTTAACTTTTCTTTTGCCTTTGTTTCCCACGTCATTTATTACCTTTGCCTAGAACCTTTTGTTCGACTCTTTCCGTGCGAAGTCATATTTACCTTAAGGCCCATCTTAGACAGGACTTACCTCCCGAGCAGCTTTCCTTGATCTCTCAAGTCTGGGTAGGTTTCCCCTTGTAGGTAATCTTAGAGCATCCTGCATGATCCCAGTCATAGTAACTTAGTTTAGGTTGTAATTGCTGTTTAATATTTTCTGTCTCCCATTAAACTACCCATTTGGTGAAGTCAGTATCTGTTTTATACATTGTTAATTTCCCGAAGTCTAGTACAATATTTGGCATATAAGAAGCTCTCAATAAATGTATATAAAGTTCTCCCAGATATATGGGCAACCTGTAGAGTTAACGGTTCGTAGTGAAGACACTTTTCTCTCTATGATCTTTCAGCTGCACCAGTTTACAGATGTAATAAGATCCTTTCATTAGGCTCCCTTCCCTGACTAGCCCTTATTGGGGGAATCGTCTCCCCATCTGCAGTGATAGAGCTCTGCCTCCCATGTTGTAGTATTGGCCTAGCTCAAGCTGGCCAGTCAGATCCTCTCTCCTGAGATTTCCAGACTGGGAGGAAGAGTTCAGTCTGAATCTTCCTGTGGAGCTGGAATGGTCACATGCTAACCTAATATTTGTGGGGAAAGCTGAGAATGGTGGTCTGCAGCAGGAGAATGAAGCCGAGGGAAGTTGAGTCAGTGGAGTCAGATCAAGAGAAAGCCTTGATTGCATTTCCTCAGGGATAGCTGCATTCCCATACCTGGCTCTGTGACATGCTTCTGTTTCTTCTAAATTCCTCTATTTTGCTCATAGGAACCTGAGTTATTTTCTGTCAGCTGCAACCTAGATTGTAACCAGTAAAGAAATTGGAACAGAGGGTCTTGATGCAGGGTGGTGAGTTCAAGCCCTCACTATTTTGAGGGTGGAGCCTACTTAAAAAAAAAAAGTATGTGCAGGGGGTGCCTGGCTGGCTCAGTTGGGAGAGCATGCCACTTTTGATGTTGGGGCTGTAAGTTCAAGCCCCATGTTGGGTGTAGAGCCTAACTAAAATTAAAATCTTTAAAAAAGAAAGAAAGAAAGAAATGGAAACAGAGGAAGTGGATTCCCTGAAATAGTCCCACAGAAAAAATCTGAATCCAGCTGAGTAATGGTGGAAGGGAGGACCGTTAGGAGTCCCCCATCCCAGAATTGTAAACTGGAACGTTTGTGACACAGTTGGCAAAATTTGAATAGGTCTTAAAATTATATAATAATGTTGTATAAGTGATAACTTTCTGATGTTCAGTAATGCTGGGTATAGAGGTAAGCCTGTCCTTGTTTCTAAGAAATACATACAAAGGTATTTATGCACACATTTCAGAATAAAAAGAGCAAAGCAAGTAAATGTTACATGAAATGTTAACATTTATGTGGGTGAATGGGGAAAAGAAATCTTTTTACTGTTTTACTGAAAGTCTGATTTTATTTCAAAATAAGTTAAAATAATAAGTTAACTAGATTTATTGTGGTGGTCACTTCACGGTGTTTACAAATACTAAATCGTTACATTGTGCCTGAAATGAATATAATGTTATATGTCAATTATATCTCAATAAAATTTTTTAATTAAAAAATTAAAATATTGACATTAAATTTATTAAAGTTATAAATATAAAAACCTATTTCTTAAATTTATGTATGGTATATAACTGCTTGGCAGTCACCTTTTAATAATGGTTTGTCCCTCCACTCAAATACCTGTGCCTCGGTGGGGATGGTGTGAGGTGGTGTCAGGACCGTGGACTGGAGCTTGTGCGTGTGGGCTCTCCAGCGTGGTAGTCTCAGGGTAGTCAGACCTCTTAGGTGATCTCTCAGGAGAGAATGTTCAAAAAGGCTTGAGTGAAAGCTGCGAAGTTTCATATGACCAAGCCACTTCACCTTTCAGTGAGGGGGCTGACAAATTGCAGCTGTTACTCACAATGAGATTTTATTTCGTATGTTTCATACATTTCACATATGATTTAAAGTGAATCCAAAATGGAAATCTTACACTACATAGTCTAATTTCAGGTCATAGTTTACAAAATCATTTTAGTGACTGACCCATGTCATTGAGGGATATTGAGTTGGCTCTAACTATGTAAGTGAGCAAACATTTGGATAACACGGTAAGAATCTATCTTTCCTTAGTTGTGTGACTTCTGCTCTACTATAGGCAGATACTTTCAGAGTTCTTTTAAAATTTATTTATCTGTAAGATGAGGAGTACAAATAGTTAGAAAATAATTTAAAATTAATCAGTTCAGAGATGATTTGCAGAGTTGTGCTTCATTGTAATCTTGCCAGTGTTGACCTAACGAATGAGGAGACAACTGATTCCATTAGTTCTAAAGCCAGTACATCTGAAGGGAATCAGCAAGAAGATGGCAGCGTGTTCTCTTTCATTACCTGGAATGTTGATGGATTGGACCTAAACAGTCTGCGAGAGAGGGCTCAAGGGGTGTGTTCCTATCTAACTTTGTAAGTATTATTACTTAGGTACAATGGTAGCATGATAACGTGGCTTACTTATCTACAAAGAGGGTAATGGTCAAGATCATGAGCTTTGGAATCCGATCTGAGTTCAAAATCTAGCTCTCAGAAGAAACATGTAAAAGAATGGAGAGTGATTGCTTCTGAGAGCAAGAGTGTGGAGGAGGTGGGGAGGGAACACTAATTTTTGTTAGATGCTTTCAGTACTGTTTCACTTAAGAAACTTTGTATGTAATTATTGCTCTGAAAGTAAAATTATCAGAATGGTCTGTGTCTGCTACACACTGGCTCTATGACCTTCTGTAATCCCTTGTAAACCACCGGAGTTCTGTGCAGCTCAGTTTCCTCATCATGGTTAACTGTTCCACGAGGACTGACAATTTGTAAGGCAATCTAATGGAGGGTGGGACCCTTGTAGGCTCTCCATATACTGATTTCCGTAGTCCATGATTCCAGTTCTTTTTACTTTAAAGTGTTATGATGTACGTTTTTCTTACTTAATTTGATCTTTACATTATTTGTAAAATAGCACAGATCTTATTTTATAGTTATCAGATATCAGTATAAACATTGAATATTAGGTGCCCTAGGGGGCAGTAATTTTGTGTTTCTTTTATGTTGTGGTATTTTGCTAATCTAGGTGTCAGCAAATGAAATAGTATACCTGGGATTTATTTTAAATTGGTGTTTTGAATTAGGTACAGCCCAGATGTGATATTCCTACAGGAAGTTATTCCCCCGTATTATAGCTACCTAA